TCCCTTCGTTCTTCTCTCACGGTGATTTTCGAGGTATTTTGTTTATATTCACGGTAGATTTGAATAATAATACCTGTTGCTTCTTAGTTTTGTATAATGTTTAATTTTATGCTAATACAATAGTTGTCATGTCAAAAAATTTAATACCTCACGTCTTGTAGATCTGAGATCTAAAAGATAGCAAAAATAAATGTGTAAAAATCATTTCTTGCAATTCACGTTTTCTACGTAAACTTTTTATCAAAATATTACTTGCTGATTTTGTGTAGATGGTTTTCGATTTAAGTATAAAGAGATAAGTGCAACTAACTAATACAAGCATAAACTAGCTAGTGATTGGAAATAAGTCAAAAACTTGTGCACGTCTAATTGCTGTAATATGAAAAGAAATAATATGATAAAAAATTTTTTTAGCCTCTAAAAAAGAGAAAACCTCATCACTGTATTGCTTTCCATAGAGCAAAACGAAATTGAATTCCGTGATCAACGTTTAAGCGAAGTAAAGATAAAAAATAACGTAAATGGTAGCAGAAGGTAATGACGTGGAGCAGTTTCATTTTTAGCTCGTAAAATTAATTAATTTCAAAAGTGAAAATAGCTTAAATTACATATGCTCTTGTCGATATTACATCTATAATGCAATTATAATATACTATTACTTATTCATTTCTATGGATAATTACTTTCTATGAGTAAAATGAAGCATATTCAATTTGAGTAATCCGAAACCACATCAGTCCACATTATATAGTAATCATCTAATTTGAAACATAAAATTAGCTAATTTAAATATAACTAGCAATAATTTGAGACATAAAATAAACTAGCTAATATCACTTACAGATAAATACTCGAAGGATTAAAAAATGTGGACAAATTTGAGTGAAAGAAACGTTTTGAATGGAAGGAAGGTATGGTATGAGAGGAGAAATAGCTGACAGCTGAAAAAAAAGTACCACCACCACCACCACCACCATCACCATTACCATTACCATTACCACCACCACCACCAACCACTACTCTTAATGCATTATTGGAAGTAAGAAATTATGGCAAGAGACCGTAAAAGCAATTAAGTGCTGAGAAAGTTAGAAAAAATATGCTTGGGAAGAATTTTTATTGAATTTAAACAATTATAATAGTAGGAAGAAAAGCAAAGCTGCAAGTAATGCACTGCCAGATACTGCCAAATAAACGAAAATGAAGCCAAAATTATTTGCTTACTTCACTGCAAAGATATTGTATCTCTGAGCAGTAATAGCCGAATGAATGAATATAAAGCTGAATCAGACGAGAAATGAAGAAGAAGATGGCAGTCATTGGAACTGTCAGTAATGAAGAACAGTAAACGAGCAGTGACACAGCAAAAGTAGTATTAATTGTCATAATCGTAGGGAATGGCATTGAAAAGTTAGCAAAACATTGGGAAAGCTACGCAAGTTGCAAAATACCAAATTCCTGAGAAGAGAAAGACAAAATGGACTAAGTATCCACTGAATTTGAAATTGAATAATGGAAAATAAATTCAAATTCAATGATGAGTAAAGTGATAAAGTGATAAATGGTTGTACAATCAAAGGGATTAATGGAGAGAGTGTTATTGAGATTAAATAAGAGTGATTGAAATTGAATAATTAAGTGATATTAAGTGATATTACATTCATTACTTACTAACTGCTTAATCAGAAATTATAAGTAAGTAATGCACATTCTTCTAAAATGAAAGAAAGTAAGCCATAATTGGTACTTACTTGCATTACCGCTTGTAGAGATAATACTTGCATTAACTTATCATCCATCCACCAAAATACACACAAAACGAAAGTTATTCAAACAGATGGCTGCTTAGTTTAGCATATTTGCAAACGTTCTTTCTTGCATTAAAAAATAAATAAAAGAGGTAGAAATGATTTGTTTCTCTTAACATATCGCATTTCTATCTTAAAGATTCAAAACCGATTATTTTGTCAAACAAATTTATTTTGCAGTTTGAATTTATACAAAAATAGTCAGAATTTTACGTCTTCAATTATTAATAAATAAATAAATAATAACTAAATAAATAATAATAATAACAATAATAATAATAAGGAGTTGCATTAAAATGAAACGGAAGTCAGTATTTACGTTAAGAATAGACAAAATTGAAGACTGTCAGTTAGGCAGTTTTTGTGAGAGATTCACTTTATTATAACAGTGATACAGTTCAATTCATATTTCAGCAATGTATATTAATCATAATAATTATTGAATATTGTCAGCTGATGAAAAGACATTAATTTGGATTAAAAATGAGCAGAATAAAAAAGTTGCTGCCAAATTTTGTCATATTCCACAGGGCAACCTTTACTTCTGAATTTTTATTTGTTTGATCTGTGAAAAGTCTAGTGTTTTGCTGAAATGATACTGTACAGATTATACAAGTTCAGAAATTTTTCAGATTTCTGCCATCTTTGAGTTAACTTTCAACTCACGTGATTTCATAAAAAGTGAAATCAAAGGTGAATCAAAGGTTAAATATGTCATTTCAGAATTTTCAGTTAAAATTTTTAAAACTCGTAAAAGATAGCATGGAAATTAGAGAAATACAGACATATCTTGTCATTTATCAGGCATTTTTATATTTTCTCATTACTTACAAGATAACAGTCTCATAACATACACTCAAGTTGCTTTCCATAAATGCTTATGAATTATACGTTGGCAAAGCATTAAACGTTGATAACTTAAATCCTTTTCCGAAAATTTCAAATAAATAGCAAGGATAGTTGACACTGAAACAAAGTTTCAAGCTGAACACTTGCAAAGTTCAAAGGTTATGAAGGTAGTAAATCAAGTGTTTTACCTTTCAACTAATAATTATTTTTATTGCTGACCAAATTATTTTTTAAATTATCCTTTTTCTGCTTTTGCTTCACTTTTCTCCTAAATTTTAATATCACATTTTTATTCAAACTCAAATTTTCAGTTTGTGTAACACATTAGAAGTAATTGTTATCAGTTGCTTGCTGTAAGCTACTCCTTCGCAACATTCAATTGCATTTCACTAAAAAGTCCCTCAAAGATTTGTTTCAGAGAAATAGCTTCAATTGTAGTCTATTTTTTTGCAATATCCTTCTGAATACTCTTGCGTTGTCCTAAAAAAGAAGTAATTGCCATCACTCTCACTTGACTTTTTTCTATTCAAAGCAAAAGTAATATTGTACTAAATCTCGTCAATTATTTTCACTAAGAATGTAAAAAGTAAAAGAAATAAGGACAGAAAATGAAAAAAGAAATTCTGTCATGACAACGAAATGAAAGCAAAATGCATAATTATTAGTTCATGAAAATCTTTGCAAATAATGGCAGTTCAATTTCAACTTGATTTCAACTTGATTTAGCATTTTGTAAATTTCACGTCAAAACCGTGAAATAGATTTCAAATTCAGAATTTGAATACAAATAAAATGCATAAGTTTTTAAAAGCCGTTACTCGATTTTATCGAAGTATACTTTAGAAATGTGACAAAAAGAAGAAAGCAGTTACTTTGTTTAATGGACTGAACAACGGAACATTCTAATTTCTATTTTAATTAATATTTTTAAAATATCTATCCAAATTAGTTAAATATTCATATATCTTCACGTAGCTTAAAGTGTTGCTTACTTTATGAATTTATTTGTAACAGTTTTATTATGATACTTCTCTTGCAGCAAATAGAACTGAAAAATTCAATCCAATGATTGATAATGGCTATTTTAGAATACTTTTATCTGAATATTTGATTTAAGAGTGTTTGTTTTGTAAATATTAGTGAAAAACCTTTGATGATTTTTAGCAATACAAGCAAGCAGTACTTTGTGGCATGAAGATATCTCTAAAAATTTGGTTAAAATGATCAGTTAATTGATTTAACTTTTGTGTTGATGAGTAATGCAGACCTAAAACGTATTCTGAATCCTCTATCACATTTAGTGAAAAGTTTTTCTGAAGGAAATCACAGAGATGGGCAATTTCTTGATTTTTAAATTTTTTTCCATATTAAATCAAATGAATTTTATAAATAGTAATCGTTCAATTCATCTTCAATTCCGTTAAATGCAAACGATGGAGTGGTCTTCTTAATGCTAATGATGATATCTCTGGCTTCTGCTGAGCTCAAAAAATCTTTTTATTGAATGTTTGATTTGAAAAGCAGATGAATTCTTTAACGTGAATTACGCTGAATGCTTATTGGTGATATTTCCATAGAAGTAAATGTTTTCATATAAAATGATGGTTGAATAGATGAAAAGAAAAACAAGTATAAATATTGGCTAGTACGTATGTTGTATGATGCGAAAAATGTCATAAATGAATATACATATCTATTAAATATTGCATCGGAAGGAAAGCTTTCTGCAGGTAATTTATTGTTCAAACAAAATTCTGAGAGAAGAAACACAAATTATAACAATCTTTCGAGATTCTGAGGGTTGTAAAAGGTCGGGATGATTCAGATGAAGAACTGGTTCTATCCATTCCTTAATATTTGCCCCTCTAATGACCGCCAGTTTGATTTCAATGAGTAAAATTACATTTGAAATTCTTCGTCTTCTTTCCATTTCTTCCTCTTTCCACATAACTATCAAAATAATTTTCAAAGTATTTTCACCCAAATAAACACAGTTACTTGCTTCAGTTTCTTTTTTACGCAGTAACGTCAACTTGAAGGATTTGAAATTCATTCATCTTATCTTATTACTTTTGCTATTTTTCTTTTGCCTTTTGGTTAAGAATGGACTGAAATGTTTATTTTGGGACGATAAAATGTTATTTTACTTTAAATAATTAGCATTTCAGAGGGAGAAAATTCAAATACAAATACAAGATGCTTTTGTAAATTATTACTTGCATACAGTACTATTGAATTTTTGTTATCATAAAGTGCTTCTTATTGCTTTGTCCGACCAATTTTCTTCAATGAATATATTTGCATTTTGTCTATTTTATTTACTGTTCTTTTTCGCTTCAAAAAATGGTAAGTAATTTAAAGTTAACTAAATTTACATAAAACTTTACAAGCAAAATTTCCATGAAATTGCAATACAAAGTCTTTTCATCATTTCGACTTTTTTCTTTCAAATAACTCTCAAAATGTATTTTTTCCATCTTAATAAGGTACAATTCATTGCTTACAGACATCTGCGCGGTTTAAAAATAATTTAAGATTTCAGTTTTTTATGATTATCTTTTGAAAACAAAAATTTGATGTAATTATATATGGAAAATATTTGGATCTTTCTTGTGTTCATTTAAAATTTTGGTTTCTTAAGATGGTACTGCGAAGGAAGTTTGTACCCGAGTCTTCCACACTATCCAAAATAGTTCATTTTTTCAACGAATTGAATTGCCAACGCCTGTAAGATGCGTTGAAAGCTGTATCGATAACATTGAGTACTGTAAAGCTGCACTGTTTATTTCAGATGAAGGAAAGGTTGCATTTAGGACAACTTCTGAATCATTAAGTAATAAAGTCAAAATGCTACTACTCTCAAAGCAAATACATTATTCTTGGAAAGTACCTTTATTAAGAATATGCTATTCTCAAAACATTAATTTTATAACGACTTGTTATAGCAATTCTTATGATTCTTTTTTATAAGAAAGAAAATTTTGTATAAAAATTAGTCAAACACTTTTTCAATTTTTAGAGTAAAGGTCTATGTCAGTTATACAGTGAAAATTCACAGTCAAACAAAGTCAGTATCATTTCGAACAACCGTCATAGTCCAACAAGTACAGTATTTGAAATTCTTGACAAATGTTCAATCACAAACAAAGTAGACACATCAAGCAACAATTTCTTGGAGGATATAAGTTTGGAGCTCAAGCAGAAACTTGAATCATGGTCAGATCAAGAATTTTCTTCTTATCCTGGAATAGCAATGAGTTCCTTCTCAAACGAGCATTTAGCTCGAAGAATGCCAAGTGGAGATGACAGAAAAGAAAGGCAAACGTTGGAAGAAAAAAATAATTTTGACATACTCACTCGGAATGAATATAATAAGTGGACGAAATATGCAGAAGTAAGACGAGACACAACTTCAGAAACCTCTAACAATTTTAACAATGGTAATTTGATTCTCCTATGATTACAGACATTCAACATTTCTAAAATAGCTTAAATGTGACGAAAAAATTTATTTTAATTGAGTACAATTTAATTTCATAGAATTTATTTTGGAGTTTCATACTTTCAAACTTTCCCAAATCTCTAAATTTATTTTTACTTATTTTTATTGTTTAAAATTATATTTTGCTTGCATTCCATAAAATTTATACTAATATGATATTAACTGCAAAAAAATTCTGAACTAACAAATTATATTGTAAATTTTCGTATTAATTTAAATTATTATTATTTAATTACTTGAAAATAATCTTACTGAAAAGACTACAGTTTGCTAATTAAAATTGTCTTTGTATTTTTTCGCAAAGAAATAACAAATAAAAATGTGAATAATTGATTATATATAAATATGTGAACAAATCTGAATGTATTTTAAGTCAGAGAACTTTAAAACGATCATTAATTTTAGTAAAAGCATTTTTTTCAGTACTTTTTTCCAGAGCTAATAATGAAGCATTAGCTCAGAATGTACATGGTAATAAGGTGTCATCAGAATATGCAAAGTTTAACTTGCCGATTTCACCTCAAAATCGGGACGTCTACAGCAGCAATGTTCCGAAATATGATGACTATACTTCGGTAATTCATAGTTTGCATTCATTACTTTTCAGTAACATGTAATTTAAATTTGTCAAAGTGATTTCAGGTTTGAATTAAAAGTATGCAAAGAAAAAATGAGACTTACTGAATAAGATAGATCAATTTAGCAATTTTCAGGTCATATTAAATGCCATTAGGTATGACTTGAAAAGCGCAAAAAGTAAGACTGATTGCTAGTGCACATAAATGGTATTTAAATATCCGTGAATATAGCTGTATTAATCTTGTTTGAGTTATCACGAAGACTTGAAATAAGCAGATGTTTCAGACTTATTTCACAGATTATACCTTTCCAAAAAATGGAGTACCGCTTCCCGATCCCATACAACCAGTTTCCATAATTCGTGGCCGGCAAGAATTCCAGTATAATAAGGGATGTCAAGGTTTGCTGTCTTTAATTTTCAAAAAATTTATTTTGCCATTCATTAATCATTATGCAGCAATATTTACAGGAGCCAACTGTTATGCACCATCGCTAGCTTACCTTAAACAGTCTAGCTTAGGTCAGCCTTGCATGACTTATTCCTCTAACCCTTGCATATCATCCAGAATTCATTCATGCCTTTCTGTAAGTGAACTTGTTATTTTTTTGACTCGAAAATTAGTGGAAAGTTTTATGAATTTAATATGACTAAAAAGTATATATAATATGCATAATTTTTGATATCGATTTTTTGTTTTTCATTAATAATTTTTATCATCTAACACGAAACATCATGAATAGGTCAAAGGGTAATGCAAAAAATTGTTTTTGATAATAACTCCCAACTTTTTTTAATGAACTTTTAAAAGTCTTCACTTTGATTTTGCAAGGCATTTACAAATTTTTAATTTTCCCAGCGAATTTGTCTTTGTAAATATTCAGTTATGTCCACCTGTCCAAACACAGTCTTACTATTTACCATCCAAAACGACAATCCCCGAAAGGTTCTATAACAGTCAGAGCTCGACGAACGACTTTATATCAACTTCTGGAAGACAAGAATTCAATTTAATCAACCCGACATCAACTCCAAAACAGCCATCAAAAGAGAAGAAGATATCATCTTGGTCAGAATGGTCGCTTGCAACTTCATGTTCAGTAACTTGTGGAAATGGAATCAGAAAGCTGACACGATTTTGTTCTGCGAGTGAACAGTGTCTGGGTTAGTTTTTAATTCATTATGCAACTTCACTGCAATTTTAAAAGAAAACATACGATGTCAATTTAGGACTGAAATAAGCTGCATTTTAATTCACAGTTAACTTTTTGTTAAATTTATCACTCATCTCAGGAGGGTCAGTAAAAGAAGAACCTTGTAACAGTGGTCAGTGTCCTCAGTGGGGATCATGGTCATCATGGAGTGAATGTTCTCAAGATTGTGGTGGTGGTGAACAATCACGCTCACGTACGTGTTCCATAAATCAGCAGTGTGTGGGACCCTCAAAAGTAAGATTTATAGGCTCCATTTTCAATATTTCATTTTTATTTTAATTTCAGAAACGAATTAGAGCTGAATGTTTTAAGAAAAATAATTCAGATTTCTCAAGCCTGCAATGTTGAAAAATGTGTTGAATGGTCAGCATGGAGCGATTGGGAAACTTGTTCAGTTACATGTGGAATTGGACAGCAAGTACGCCGCAGGTATGAGCTGAAACCAAATCAGAATATACCTGTTAGATTCAAAACACTTTGATATAAAGTCACAAATTTTTAGTTCAATCCTGAATCACTTAATCAATCAATTAATCAAGTCATTAATTAATCAATAATACTGGGTGATTTTTTTGTAAGCCATGCAAAAGTTTTTGAAAGTGAAGGATTTTTTTTGGGCAATGTGTGAGTGGCAGTGCTTGCATCGGTAAGCCGCTGGAAAATAAAATGTGCAGGCAGGCAGCTTGTCCTTCTTGGTCAGTTTGGGGAGAGTGGAGCGAATGCAACGCAAGCTGTGGAGGTGGACAGCAGGTTGCGCATTTGACGATATTTGCTATTATGAGTCAAGTCGTAAAATTTTCCGTTTTCTTAATTTAGCCCAAGTTGACTGCTATTATTTAGAGACTAAAATCAGTTTGTTTAATTCTGACAATTTTTTTGAACTAATAATAATAACAGTAATATTAGTGAAAATAATAATAATCAGTAGTAATAATTTTAATAAAACTATATTTATCCCTTCAGCACTTTACAACAGGCTAAGCACTTTTTTATAATTATGGAATCTCTTGAAATCATTTTTGAGTTTGATCACAAGAGCTTTTGAAAGCAGAGATTTTTTCAGCATCGAACAAGGACTTGTTACAGTAAGACAGAATGTCTTGGAGACTCAGAAGATTACAAACCATGTGGTGGACATTCTTGTCCTAAATGGACTGATTGGTCAACTTGGACAGAGTGTTCTGAAACTTGTGGTAGAAATGGTAGTAAATTGCGTACGAGGTCAGAATTTGTTAATGTTTTCATACAGGATTTTAACATTTTGGCTTCACATAGTAATAATATTGCTTACATTCGGAAAGTTTGATAATAATAATTACAGATCTTGTCTGAAGGACAACTTGATAAGTACAGATTGCAAAGGTGCTGCACAAGATCAAATGGCGTGTATGGACCTTCCAGATTGTCCTAGTTGGACATTATGGAGTTCTTGGTCGTCTTGCTCTGTTACATGTGGACATGGTCAAGAAATAAGGTTAATGCATGCAGTTTCTAGAAACTAGTATCGGTTCTGGCAAAAAATCTGAGAGTTTGTTTGAAAATCCTTTTTATAGATCTTAATAAATTAATGTTTCCACTTTAGTATTCATAATAATTATGATTATTTCAGTGATGACTTTTGTTTATTTCAGGCAACGATCTTGCTTTCCAGTAAATGCACAATGTATCGGTGCCAATCAAGAATTTCGGTTTTGTCAAGATTCAGTGTGTCCATATTGGAATGAATGGTCTGCGTGGAGTGATTGTTCAGTTACTTGTGGTATAGGAACCTGTGAACGAGTGAGAAAGTAAGATGGTTTTTCAGAAGTAAAATCTAAAGTTGCAGAGTTACTTATGAATGATTGAATAGCCAAATAAAACATATTTGATTGTATTAGAAAGTAAGATCGTTGCATAGAATTTTTCAGAATTACAATCTAGACTTCAATAAAATAATATTATCGAAAGAACTAATCGAGCCATCAAACTTGTTGCAATGATAATCGCATGGAATTTTTTCATACTTTTTTTTGTGCTTAATATTTGTAGGTTTAGATTTCTGAATTATTGAGTTGTTGAATTAGAAAAAGGAAGTAAACACGAGTTTATCAGTTTGTATTCAGATGTGTTATCAACGATGATAGTGACAGGAGTGAGAAGAAAGAAGACAACTATTATTCATTAGGTACACAATTTCAGCTCAAATGATGCTCGTTTTGAATTTGTTTCACGATAATCTTATTTTTTTTGCTTTGAAATACAATTTAGTTTTGTCAAAAAAAAATTTAATGGAATCAGATAAAGGAATTAAAATAATTACCGTCTTTACTGGTTGTATTTCAAGCAAAAAAATAAGTTTGCTGCAAAATCAAGTTTTAAAAAACTGACAGCAAATTTATTATGTCATTTTGACTTTTGATTTTGAATTTTTTTTTGGATAAATTCCAGCAAAAAGTTTAAAAGTGTGCATGTACAATTTACTTGAGCTCAAATTTATAAATTTACTTTGCGAGTACACTTTTGTTACTTATAGGTGCCTTACAAAGTAAAGTTCCAATAAAAAGCGTTAAACGAGCTATCATTTCATCGCATAACATAAATAATTTGACTTTCGCCCATTCCATTTACGGTAATGTGTCAACATCAAGAATGTACACGGTAAGTACAATGAATGAATAAAATCTTTTGAAAAGAATTTGCAGAGATTTTTAAATCTGTTAATGCTTCTAAATCAAACTTTAATCAAGAAGATATTAAATGTGCAAGAATCTTCGCTAATATTATCTAAAGATAATGGTATATATATTAACATACATTTAGGGAGACAGAAGTAATTTAGTAATCAGAAGTGCAAGAGATGTAAACAGTTGTGATGGAGACGCTACTCAAAAAAAAGAGTGTGATGCTGGTGATCATTGCTTACTTAATGCAATATACTCAAATAACTTACTAATTAATCTGATAAGTTTCATGCAAAAGTTACTTAAAGTGGTTCACTAATTATTTAGAGTAAAATTTAATACAAAAAATATGATCGATTATGAAGTAAATTTGATACTTTTATATGGACTACAATATTACACTTTTGTAAATAATGCAAACTTCCTTACTAAATATAAAATTCATTAAATGATAAGTCGGTATATATAACACATAAGAGACGCAAATGCAATAAAAACTAATCAGAAGAATTTTGCGTGAAAATAGTTAACGAAAGTGTCTTCATTAAGGCAAGTAAACTAGAAGAGACTGTTTGAATACGTTACAGTTGATGTAATTCTGCGCTTGAAATGCTTCATTTAGACACTGCAGTTATTAGTAAATTTTTCTACGAGTTCAAGTAATGTTATAAAAATTAATTACGTGTAATTACAACGGAAAAAAATGAAAATTTTCAGGGCCTTGTTGCAAACTTTCACAGTGGACTGAGTGGACGCGGTGCAGTGCAAGTTGTGGTGGCGGTACTCGTGAAAGGTTTTGCTAAAAGCATTCTTTGCAATTTTTGTTTAGTACATTGAAGTCAGTCATTTTGTGTTTTTTATTTTTAAGCATTCGTACGATTTTATTGTTTTGCATGTATTTGATAGTGATGCAAAGAGGAATAATTCAGGCATCGTACATGCTCCTATCAAAATGAATTACAAAGTTACGAGTTGAGTAGAAGCAACTATTATTCTGAAGCTTTGCTAAAAGCTGAAACCCCTCTCAAAGTTAGTGGTGACTCAAACAGAATCAAATATGTTGGACGGTCAAGTAATGAGAAACGCAATATTTGGAGGCCGTTTGCAACTAGTGAATTTAGCATATTTGTTGAAATCAAATTTGGTAGCATAAAAAAAGTTGATTTTATGTTTATATAAATTGGTATTTTGTAACATCCTGGTCAAATTTAGTCTCAACATTCTGAATAATTTAAATTGCTAATAAAATTATTTATACCATTTTTTAATATCTCGTGATGAAATTAATTGCAAGGCTTACGACCAGTTGTGTCTGCTGTACATTTCACACCTATTCAACGTTTACGTCGTCAGTCAAGAAATCTTGTTGAGTTGAGCTCACTTGAAGAAGGTATTCATTTCACACCTAAATCAGACGTACTTTTTAGGAATGAATTTATTTACAGACCTTTTTTGTTTCAGTTTAATTTTGAAAACTTTTGAGTTTTCTCAATTGTTAGATTGGATGATTTCAGACATTTCCATACCATCAACTGATGAATATATTTGTGGTTGTAATGGCAAATTGCATGAGAAAATGAAATGTGCAGAAATTTCATGTCCTGAGCAAGTGGCTACTTCCACTTGCATGTGGTCAGCATGGTCTGAATGGTGTCGTTGTATGGGATCTTGCACTCAGGTCAAAAAGATATCCTCATCAAATATATTTTGAAATAATTTTCAAGTATTCGACGATTTCAGGGTGTCAAACTAAGAAGCAGGTATTGTATCGATGGTATTCCAGAAAATGGCGATGTGCTCGCTGATAGTTACTCACGAGCTACTACATCAAGATGCTATTGTTATGGAAGTATCACGGACAAAGAATCATGCACTCCACAGGCAAATTATCTACTTTTTGATAAATAAGACTGATTTATTATGTTAAGAGATGGAAAGTAAAAATTGTCTGTCAGGAATGTTCCATACGTCGAAAACCGAAGATGCTGAAGAGCTTGCCATCTTCACCTCATACAAATCTTCGTATTTTTTCTACAGAAGGAAGGCAGATGATTAAGAACATTAATCATAATATTTATATGAGTTGCACATGGTCTTCTTGGGGTTCATGGTCATCTTGTATGGCAGATTCTAGAATAAGAACACGATATTGTATCGATAATACACGTTAGTATTTACTTCTATTGGTTGAAGTTCAATAGATGTGTTAGCAGCAATCAGTACGTATATTTATTTCAATTCAAACATTCATTCCTTTAAAGTACTGAGAAAAATTTATTGCTTTTTTAGAGAAGAAATTCAAATGTTATTGTAATGGTCATCTCGTAGAGCAAGCACCATGCTCACAAACGATATTAATAAGATCTAGGCGAGATCAAAACTCAATCGTTGATTTCACTTTGAAGAGTGATAAAGAATTCATGAAAAAAATGAGCACTGATGCTATCAAAGATAGTAAAGTTTGTTCATGGTCGAATTGGGGTAAATGGAGTGATTGCTCTATCACATGTGAGAGAGGACGAAGAATCCGAAGGCGATTCTGTTCTTGCAGGTATATTTATCAAAGTTTGAAAGAGTAAAAATTGGTGTAGAAGATCAATACCAGCAATTTTTTTGTGTGTTTTTAGTATTTTTAACTTCATTTAAGCAAAAATTTATAATTCTTAATTTTGATTCTGTTTCAGATTCTGTGGTTCTGGACTGCCCTTTGAGATATATCCATATGAAATGAAGCATTAAAATAAAAGATTCAATCCTTCAAAAGACATCATCTTAAAACCTTTCAAAAGTGAGTAAAGAATCATTTAATGATCCAAAAATAGATAAACTATAAAAATGATTTGATCGATGGATTTAGAAGAAAGTTTTTATCAGACTTGTCTATTTATTAAAAGCATAATGAATTAATTTGAAAAACATAATTGCATTAAATGAATTTTATTTCGAGATCTGGAGACAATACTCACTGTTCTCGAGACTGCTTATTATTATTGATGCTTGTAAAATTGCACAGACCATTTTTCAGTATAATCTAAAAGCTGTTTATTAAAATTTTATTGAAGTATTAATTGAGTGTTCTAATATTATGATGATAATAATATTGTTCTGTGTAGAACTTGAAAATGTGAATAAAAGAAGAATTATCTTTTCTTAACTTTTACGACTTAATGAAAAAGCAGTGTTGTGAGACTTCAAAGATTGCTTTATTGTTTCAGAATACTACTGACTTTGTATCAAAGTTTTAGAGTGAAATTAGATTGAAAAATTGCTCAAATTTCTGGACAAGTTCTGTAAGAGAATAAAACGAATAATTGGGCAGAAAAAAGAGGACGTATGTGGATGGATAATGAATGTTTATTTAACAAGAATGGATTTGTGAGAGATAATGTGAGTGAATTGACCTGAACAACGATTAAAAATTGAAAGAAATAATTTGATAAATAGAATTTGTTTGGATTGGATGAGATTAACTTACTTTGCATCACACAGCGATTGCTCTGGTGTGATATAATGCGCGAGTACTGGATTTGCATTAATCCCATTTAACTTTACTCGCAATTACTATTTCACTACCAATTTCATATGCGCAAGAAACTTTTCAGCTATTTCAATTCCAATTCAATTCAATAATTTTGTTTTATATAGTAAAAATTATCGGTCGAAGATTATTTTTGCTTCTTTACTTCCCTTTTGCGCACTTCAATTCTTAATCTGCCTTTATGTTTGTAATGGCATCCGTAACGAAGACTGAAGACGATGAAGTTGAAAAAACGAGTGAGTGGATGACTGAAGAATGCTTGCATAAAATTAAAGTTATTATTGTGTGTATGTAGAAATAACTCGAAGAATAAGAAACATTGGCAAGTTTTATAATCTCACTGAATACAAATCAAGATTAGTCTAAAATCAGTTTAGCATGTAATAGAAGATCATCCCCATTCGAACTTTACCAAAAACGACCATACAAACAGAAGTAAACAGCATTTAATTAGCGTGCTTAAGTTAGAAACAATATAAAGTGACATCTGATGATAGTTAGTTAGATCTAAACTGAACATTCTCTAATGACTTCTGCATTTTGTTAATATTTACTTGCTACTGCTAATTACTAATTTAACTTTCCTTTAGAACTTTCTATAAGCGAAAGCAGTACAAACTTAATAATTACTTTGCTAAGGAAAATGCTTTCAAAATGACAGGTGTCACATACTTTTAAAAGTTATAAAAATGGCAGGCACTACTTCTCGATGCACGCAAAGTTCCATAAAATAAGTCAAATTTTTTTGCAACAACGCAGAACGGTAAATTGTAGTTAAAATAGTCGCACTGTCTTATTTTTGGCTTTTAGAAGTATGTCTTTTCTTTTGCAAGCAATGTTGGGATGTCATTTAAATTAAATGCTCGAACATTTATTATCTTCACTAATTACTTTGCTTTACTGCTAATAAGTTGATGATCAAAAATGTTATCACATTATCACTAATCATTTTGTATACAATTTAAATTATGATAATACTTTTCCCATTAAAAGAATTGAACTTTTGCGTTTTAATAAATATCTTATGTAAGCAAACTGCGCTGTAATTGCATGAATTATTGAAAAAATTTGCAGGTAAGAAATGAACATGCAAAATGAATGACATAATAGATACGATCTAGATTGTACTGTATCAGTAGTGATTGCGGAATACTTGCATGAGCGAGTAAGTGAAGTAATTAAACGCATAAAATTTAAACAAAATATTTAAAAATTTTTCAACTAAAAATTATTATTTCACATTTTGTGGTAAGAGACGAAGAAACGAACACAAATGACCGAAAAATTTTCATCAAACTGCGAAAAGATTTGTACATTCTTAGCTGAAGGCGTTTCTACTTGTCAGATTTTCGAATACTTAAAATTGCTCATTGTTTAGTTGTGTTAGAGTTAGCTTCAAAACATTACTATAATATATGAGCAAAGTAAATTCAGAATTATTTTGGGATGCATAGAAAGGACTTGAAGAATTGCAGCACATAAACAAAAAATAACTGATGCTAAATTCTGTTATTTAATTTATTTAATGCCAAATTTCGATAATTTTTAAAGTGAGAGACAAACTTAATACAGAGAGTGTGCCCAAATTATTTAAATGATTCCGATAGCTAAAGCTGGTTTTTATAATTGGATTAAAAAAAGTTTTGAAGAACACATCTGGTATAGAGACGTGTCGTTTTGATCCAACGCTGCGCATTCAACAACAGATTTCAAGTAATGCCATTTTTTTTAAGAATTGCAACTCGTCTGATATCTTAAAGACTTGTTGTCTGGATGAGACAGGAAAAAGTAACATTTTTTGAAAAGTTAACATGAATAGAAAAAGTGTCATTATTAATTAATTTACTGGGAAGGGTAATGAAGAGAAGAAATTAGAAGGAGTAAAAATTCAAGTTCAAATAAATTGATATTTTGTTCGAAATTGAAGAAGTCTTATTTATATTATTCAACTGCTTGAAGCAGTAATTTGATGATGTTACAAATCAGTTAACAATAAAAAATAATTTGTCATAATTGATATCACCATCGTCATCGTCATCATCATCACCATCATCATCATCATCATCATCATCATCATCATCAGATCATCAATACCACAGGATTTCTACTCTTTCCAAGAAATTTACGTACTAATGTCGTTTTGAGCGGTCAGCCTTAGGGCATCCGGTTCTGTCATTAGTCACAGCCACACCTCGGCTACAATTCAACAATACCTATCTTCCATGGAATAAAGTTGGGACGAGACAATACAAGACGAGAAGAGATTACTTTTTACCTTTATCTGTTGTGCTCATATCGCGAATGACCATTCATTTTCTTCTTTACAGTTAATTTAACATCTAATTTTGATCTTTAATAGTATACAATATTCTTAACTGATCAATTAATGAATAGATCAACTCTTTTTTGGCATGCATGCTTATTCAAATATTTGTGTATTCATTCAGTCTATTAATCTTTTATATTTTTAAATTGCTTTATTACTACCATTCAAATTGTTGCAATTGTGTACTATTTTGGCAACTGATTCACCTATGCTTAATCAAGTCAAATTGTCAAAATTTTCACTAAAATACTTTATCACATGTTCGAAATGAGATTTTTTCAAATATTACGCTGTCATTTTTTGTGAGATTTAAATTTTTTGCAAACGAAAATATTCCATAAAAATTTTGAATGAAAATTTAGTGCAAAACGCATCTTACCAGTAATTTTATCTCTATTTTACACTTTAATTTACGTGTAATATTTTTCTGTCAAGGAGGTAACTACGTTTTCCTAAAACTTTTGAATAACAAAGTAGTCGTATGTCTGTCGTAAGACATACAACAAATTTCCGTTGTATTTGTCCATTGCATCTTCAAAATTTAGAAGTACCATTTATGATTACACTTAAAATTATTAGTTAATAGGTCAAATATAAATGAATGAATGAATGAATGGATGAATAGTAGTGCAGAGGTTTTAGAAAGGAATGCTTTTCGATGTCGCTTTAACATTCAATTTGAACGCTTATTATTTATGAAAGATGTAAGAAAAAAAGAATAGAATTTAAAGTATTTCAAAAAAACTTGATTAATTGAAGATCAGCAAACAATATCAAAAAGCATATTTTCTGGTCAAAAACTTCACGAAAGACTAATTAATCTCAAAAATGAAAAGTTTTACATTTGAAAGCTTAAAAAATTGTTTGCAAATATTTGTCAAATGAATGCTATTTTCATTTTTGTTTTGAAAACTTAAGAAAAACAAATTTAATGCTTAAAAATAGAAGACAAGATAGATGGAGCGGTTGTTGATTAACATTAAAACGTTGAAATCTTGTTTGTAGTTTAGTCGATAAGAAAGCATTCGAACCTGTTCTTGCAACAGCGAGTAAAATCGGTGCTACTTTTTCAATTACTTTTATATTTTTTATTTCTGATTACATAGGTGGACAGATAGATAGATAGATAGATAGATAGATAGATAGACAGATGCTTAAATAGCTTATGTAATAACTACTAAAATGCTATAAAAAAAAATTTCTATTCAACTGCAACTTTCTAATTTTAGACTAATAACAAGGATTGAATTATTTGTGGATTAACTCTTCTTACAGTACTTCTACTTCCTTAATATAATGTTAATCTTAAAAATTACAAATTGCTTCCTTTTTTACCTCAATTTCTGAAAGAATACAAAATAAATAGAATATTAATATACTTCAAAGCATTCTTTCATATTTTTCTTATGCTTCACTGAATCACTTTCAAAATTTCAATTAATTTGCAGTCATTTCCACATTTTTTCTTCTTGTAATCATTTGTCAAACAGAATCATCACATCTTATTTGGAATGCAATGCTTTTTTGCTCTCACAGTGCTTACCTATAATTCTGATGTATCTGATAGTACTGCTTAACACGTATCTGATAGTACTGCTTAACACATATCTGATAGTACTGCTTAACACGTATCTGATAGTACTGCTTAACACGTATCTGAGAGTACTGTTTAACTCAAAAGGTTGATAAGAATACAGAGGAATTATCAGATCTAACAATATTACGTTAAAAGTATAATAATAGTACTATTTTCATTTATATCGAATTTTTAATAATGACAACGACTATCGTTCAACTTGATATTTACAGTTAGTTAATTATAATTAGCTATTATGCTTAAAACTATCACAAGATTAAAATTGATTTTAATACAGTAGTTAATTAGCTCGTCCAGTAATGATACGAAAAAACTTTGAACTGTTTCCGTCACATGCAATAAATCCACTGACTCAAATCATAAAAAATAAATTGCATCAAATTGTTCGTTTGACTCAATCCTTTTGTACAATATTCTTTCTCATTTACTTAAATATAGTGAACTATGGCATTTTCTAATGGTATTTTGTGCAATAATTACTATTATTTACAAATTTTGATATTTGAAAATTATTCTTCATTTTGACTATTAAAGTTAAAGACGAAATTTTCTTTCAAATTATTTGGGGATTCTTATTTTCTAAGCTTTTGAAATCTGTTTCTCAATATTTTATAACTTTGTAAATCTTTCTGAATTGCCTGTTGGCATTCTTAATATTCTTACTTTCAATGCGTGTTTCTTTTTTCGCCCTGGTTATAATTACGGCCTTGATCACTTTCTGCTAGTTCACCATTGTCAATCAGATATCAAATGAAATAATGTCAGTAAAAATAGGCTTTTTCAATGTTATAAATTTGCAAGTATAGATTATTAATTATTTTTTCAGCTCTTTAAAAATTGATTGTAATTAATTTCACAGTGAGCATCATTATTATTGACTCTACTATTTCAAGTTTTCGAATCGTCTGATTCTGGAGCAGAATATTTGCTGTTATTATTTTCATCATTATTTCGACCATTCTATTAAGATTAACATTATCAACAAAATTCAAGAAGACGATAGTATTCGGAAGCAAGCGGTAATTCTTGCTCGAAACATTTTTAATGAAGATTAGCTTCTTAGTGACTTTTAACAAAATTGAAAGGCTTGTGATTAGAACTGGATTACGTAGATCATACGTGTAAGTAATAACGTAGGATTAACAAGTCACTAAGAAGCTAATCTTCATTAAAGATGAGGCGCTTTTCAGGATTGCTCATTGGAGATATGAGCAAAAGCAATATGTTATTGCAAGTTTTATTTTTCGAGTTGCAGCTATGCGCTATCACAGTGTCGCAATCTTTAGCAAGTAAGTTTATCTGATCAACTTTTCTACATCGTACATAAGGCCTGCATATGATATAAACGATAAATTTGTGGTTGTGACTTTTAACCTATAAAACACGCAATTGACTTTGACTACTTCGATTGATTCAGATTATATTGACTTTGTAATGCTGAACAAATGAGTAGAGCAATGTATGGATAAAAATAGTTCAAGACAAATGTGGAAATTTGATTTGGAATTTTTACAGATAATTTCTTTGCAAAACCAAACACGAACGCGGGTATTGTGACACGCATCAACCAGAAAGGTCTTAACTTGTTGGCAGATTATCTGAAGGAACGCGTGAATAGGTTCATGCATCACGGAGAAATAACGTTCAATTTTTCTGCCCCACTCACGGACGAGGTTTGCAGTCAATGCTACTATTAATTGAAAGTTATTTACTTTTGCAGAAGTGAAAATAAATTTGAATGAATAAAGCTAATTAAATAGTTTTAGCATTACAAAGTATTCACTCGCTATACATATTAATATCTTATGTACTTGGCTGATTATTGTTTAACCTACTGAATTAATCACTTTATTCAATCAAAATAGTACTGAATTATTATTTAAGGTAAATGTTGTGTTCACATTGATTTTAGTGACCATTACTTGCTACTAAGTTAAAATAATATAATACTTTTGAATTATCAAAATTTTAGGTAACATTTGGTCTCATTTCAACAAAAGCTATTAAATATGATTCAGAAATATTCAAATCGCAGTTAGTTACTATTCCCGGACAAGGCCTCTTATGGACTGTAAGCTATTATTCAACTCATTGAATTATCCATTCATTCATTTCTATTCAATTAAAATATTTAATTTTCTGCCAAGTATGCATCGAAATTTCCTTGAAGACACTGTAAGCGTATTGTATGCCTTATAATTGAATTAAGCAATTATAAAACAATTTTTAGGGCTCCAATTTAAATTTGTCTATTGGGACATTTTTCAAATTTTCCACTTCAAATGACGAGTTTTATGGCTCTGCTACCCTTCAAATCAAAAAGTACACAAATACAATCATTTACTTCAAATATTTAAGTTTCATCTGAAATCAAATACTGAATCACTACTATTATCATGTTTAAAAATTTTATAATTACTCAGTCACTTTGTGAATTTTGTATTTTTTCATTACTTACATGATTGCTTACCTCATCTTTAGTATTTTATCACCAAATATTTTACATAATAACACTTTATATTTTAAGTACTAAAATTGAGTGCAATATTTAGACTAACAAAAATAATTTTATGCTACTTTAAATGTAAAAATAAAACTAAAGTATTAAAAATTAGAATTATTGCAGCGCAAAAGTAAGATCATACTTTGCGGCTGCAATCAATTTTGATGGCCATCTGAGGACGGATTTACAGAAATGCTCACTTTCTCTCGGTAATATTGTAATGAACTTTAGCGAGGCAGATCCACTGTTATTATCTAATTATTATTCTCAAATTGATCAATTCATCGGAGAAAGAATTGAAATGGTTTGAATATTTCTATAACAATTTTTCAATTTGTTGTATTTATTTTACTTTTACAAAAAAATTGTGAGTTTGCTTTTTGTCTGACAACAATCAAAATTTCAGATAATTTGTTCAAGTTTTAATACTGAACTTGTGCCCATTATCTCAAATCGTTTACTCAATACACCGATGAGTGGTGCTTTATTTGATCGGTATTTCTTGAATTACGGTCTCATTGAGCATGTACAATATTTGCAAAATGCAATAGAATTAAAGCATCGAGGAAATGTATTTGGTATAGCAAAACAGAGTTAGTCTATTTTAGCATATCAACTGATTTGCTTGACCTTTGATTTGGTAATAAAAATTCAATGATAAATTAGAGGTGTGGAAAAGTTTTTTATAGCTTTTCAGCTTTTAAGTATGAGCTGATAAATGAATAAACATTGAAAAAGACTTTTAATTTTAAAAAAAATAAGCTTTTTTTGCAACTTTGCAAATAATTATTGCAATAATATATAGTAAATAAGAAATTTTTGGTTAAAAATTTTAATTTACTTGAAAACTCACAAATTTCAAATATTGCTAATTTAATTTAGGTAAAAAGAGATTTAATGATTTTCGATTACCATTTTCATCGCCACAAATAAAAATCAGTAATCAAGAAGAAAACCAAGCAATGCTTGAGTTTACTATGTCTAATTATTCGATTAGTACTTTGCTTTACTGGATGGATCAGCATCAGAAGTTTGACTTTGACATAAGTAAAAAGAGCATCTCTGATAGTATGGTTGGATATCTGAGGACTGAGTGCAGTGCCGAGGATATCTGTGCAGGAACTCTGTTCCCAGGTAAAACTAACTAAATAGTAGCTGTGCACTGAAAAACTACCAAAGTCCTAACTGAAAGTATTTCAGATTAAAAATATTAAAAGTCAAAAAAATATGATCGAATAAATTCTTTACATTATGATGCAAAATAAAATATTAATTGAATTACATTTAAAGTACCATTTTTTTTCCAAATTACTGTCTTTTAAATGTAGTTTTCCCGGACTAATTTTGTGCTTAAAATCAAAAGAAGTAATTATTAAATGATTAAAAGACAAATTTTTAGCTTTAAGCGCTGAATATCCCGATGGTATGGTGGCGATAAAGTCGCATACAACTACATATCCAAGAGTTCGTCTAGAAAAAACTGGAGGAGTAATAGTGTTGTGGAGCCAAGTGGATTCTTTCGTGCAAGTAAGAATAGCGTATTTTGTACTGTTCGTAATTCTGATACTAACTGATTAATTTTTATCTTATCTTTATATTCTGCAAAAGTTGGTTAATAATTATTGTAAATTGAAACAATTATTATTCCAAATATTGATATTAATAGCCATATGTTCAAAATGCTTTTCAAAAAAATAACAATTTTTCCCGGCCGATTTATTTAAGCATTAAATTGTTTGAAAAAACAATCATTTCTTCTCGTGAAAGTAATAATAAACAATTAATATTCAGCAACACGAAAGTACGCATCGATTTCTCACGGCAAGTATGATGGTTGAATTCAAGTTAGAAAAAGTAAAGTTCCACAACTACTCAATTACGTCTCAATTACGTGTTCAAAAATTCAAAGTTTTTGATGTTGCAAGTCTTGTTGAGGGAATCGATGCGATAAGTCTCGAATTTCTTGTCACTGCTCTTAGTGAAATAATATTTGGTGATAATGTGACCAAGAAACTTTTTGGTGGTAAGCCTTATATTTGAACTAATAAGACAAGTTTGAAGAAGTCAAAAATTGGAGCTTGCTTCTGAGTTAGCAAATTTTATTCATAATAACGTTTTCAACTTTTTTTTTAATTCTAAAAATATACAAGACTTTTTCTAAAAGTTGTTTGAACAATTTTTATTTTTCAATGCATAATTTTTTTGACTAAGTAAAAACCTGTTTAACTAACCAAAATTATTTTCAGGTCTCAAATTACCCATTTTGTTTGATTTTGCCCAAAAATCAGTAGATATTATATTTGACACTGACAAAATAAGGATAGCTGTTGATTTCTGCTTCGATCAAGGTTGTGATTCAGATGAAGGCAAGGAAAACAAAGATTTTGATTATTATGACAGTATCAACAACTCGTCATCATCACAACCGTAATAAATTTGTAAGTAATCGCTTGTTACAGATTTTGGCGTACACAAAACTTTGCTTTACGAATTTGCATATAAACAGTTATTCATTTCTTATATGCATTAATAAAGTACAAAAATCTATTGAATTATTTTCAGAATTGCACTCTTTGGTAGTAATTAATTACCGCAGATTTTTATTTTTAAAAAACTCGTTTTTGTTAACAGAAGTCAACTTTTATGAATTGAATTTGTAGTTTATCATTCCTGCTTATAAGCGGATAGAATTGTAAATAATTGTAAGAAGTTAATGGGATTTATCGGTTACAAATATTTTTTTGACTTTTTTGCATACATTTTTTTAGATTTTTTTTGATGGCAAAAAAATAAAATTTGAAGTAAATTTAAGATGCTGAAAAATTAACATCAAACTATTTATCCGTAGTAATATTTGTGTAAAAAGCAGAACAAATAAATTCAGTAACAATTAAAATTCAACAACTTTGCATTCTGATGCCAATTGTTTTTGTTTTCTAGAATGAACTTAATTATTTAAAGTAAACTCTGACAATTTTTCAACTTTATTAATAGAATAAGAGTGAAAGTAGTTAAGTAAATAATTCTGTCTGCTTAATTAGATGGAACAATCTGATTATAATTTTAATCTGAAAAAATATTTTAATATTATATTTCAATCTTCCTTGTTGAATTTTTTTCCATTCTCAATTCTTGTTTTTTTTTTACTATTATTTGCTTATTTTTCTCAACTTCCGTTAACTTTTTCATAATTTTTAAAGATTTTCGAAATTTATGTGCGTTATTTTTATTTACTTTTTATCGCTCACAGTTTATATGTACACAAAGAATCACTTTTTTGACTTTTTGACTTATTTAATTTCGTATTTTGTATAAAATGTAATTCTTTTTACAAACTGTGAATATATATCTCATTAATGCTAGGAATTTTTTCTACCTTGCTACTAAGTCCCTAAATGATTTTGTGTATAAAATTAGTGATCATATATTACTTATGACAAAAATTGGTAATTAAATTGAAAAATTATTGCCTGCAAATCATAGCATATTCTGTAACAAAATTGTGTTTTGTTTCCTCTGAGAAAATTCCAGTCATTTATTCATATATTTCTTATTTTAAGCTAACAAATACAAAATTAGAACAAATTTATCCTTTCCTTTTTAAATTGCTCAAAAGAGAGAGAGAAATAGCATATTAACTGCTCAAAATAATTAATTACAAATTCTATTATCACAATTGTGAGTACATTTTACCTCTCTCAGTGAAACCATAAAAGGTTTTATCCAAGCTGACCTATGTTACAAAGTAATAACTTTCTAAAATATGCTCATTTTTTATGCAATAATACAATGTTCAATATTAATTTTTCATGTAAATAAACATTTTTTTTCGATAATTTTCGTGTTAAATATTTAAATTGTTTCGTTCGCCAAAAAATTTTGCATATTATGAAGGAAATTGTCCATTTGAAAGGCAATTTTTTTAATGTGATATTATATTTTTTTGCATTTTCCACTTGTTTGAATTTGTTTGAATCAATCATAAAATAATATTTTATGATTAATGCAAATGAGTTTTCTGGTGAGTTGTGAAAATATAAATGCAATTGAGATAGCAATAAACCAGAATTAATTCTGACCTTTTTGTTATGTACAATTCTAAAATTTGACAAATTTGCTTGTTTACATGGATTCTGAAACGAAAATACAAGTTTTTAAGTTACTTCTGAAGACATAATGATCGAATCTGATGTTTATTTTACTCAAAGTGTATGATGAATGCGAATACCAAATTGATGTTTAATAAATTAATGGGAAAGTTGCATTCTGTTTGATTCACTTTATAACTTTATATTGAACATTGCCGTGAAATTGAAGATGTGAAGCACAAAGAACTGAAAATACTAAATGAGACCAAAGAAAGGGAGGAAGTGAAAAATTTGCATATTTCTGACTAAAATGCTTTAGTGCCAGTAAGTGACAATTCAAATAAAAATGACAATTCAAATAAAAATAATATCTTTCTTTCTAATAACGGAGTTATAAATTTCAAAAAAAAAAAAGAAAATATTCAAGTATTTATTGCTCGATAATTTCAATGCTAAGAATTTATGATTAAAATCAAATTTGTTGCATAGCTGTATCTTATATCAAGTCTGCTTCAGCTTTAGAATTATGCGTTTTTCATCTTCAATCTCGAGCATAAATTGTGTAAGAATTCTTAATTGAAGCTTATTTCATGCTTGTTATACATTCGTTCCTGGCAAAAGAATCAAAATAAAGCTACTGTAAGTAAACACTTTCAAAAAAATACTCTCAATTTTTATAGACTAGAAATGATCCGCAACAACTTAAACTACACAAATTCAGTTTAAGATTTTATCATTTAATAGCTTATTTATCAATTTAATGGCTTAAGTAAGTATTCACGATTATCTTTGAGGATAACCAGTATCCACTGCAACTGCTCATTTTTTTCATGTAATCTAGTAATAATCATTCTTTGGCGTGCAATCTAATTCTTACATGTATTTTTTTCAAATTTTCTTCTGAGTTATATGAATTCTTTGTCAAAACTTACTTGTTCCACAATTCATACGTGAACGAGGCAGAATTGGTTTGGCAGTGAGTGCAGGAATACTCCTTCGATGACATTGTTGTTTCAAGCAATTAGGCAATAACCGCACAAAAGCAGTACGTAACTGCATGTTAAGAGCAGCGTAAAGTAACGGATTCCATACCTGCAAGATGCAATCACTTTATCAAAACTTCATAGATTTAGTATTTGCAGATTTCTGAGTTGAAAATTTGTTTGTTCAATACAAGCGAAAAATTTTTTTTTAAATAAAGACAAATTAATTGCTTCGTCTTTTTTAATATATATTTTTATAATGAATTTTTTAAATATTTTTCTTAATTCTATTGCAAATCAATTAAGACTAGGTTTATCTTGCAGATTTTCAACTCAGTAATTAAAAATATAACTGCTAACAATTACACAAATCTTTCAAATTTAATGTAATGAAACTAACAGTAGATGACATAGCAATGCAGTGGGTGACAATTCCAAAAAAGTACTCTTGGGATCGGCACCATTCCGGAAGACAGTCATAATCCCTGAGCACATTGAACAAAACACTGGAAAACCAACTAGCAGAAAATGCTACAACCATTGCTATTAGCATTCGATTCGTACGTTGTCTACGTCTAATAGCTAAGCGTTGCTGCAAAAAACATATACGACTTGTCTCATTTTTCAATATCTGAGATCAATTGCAATAAAAAAGTTTCAGATGGAAAAAATAAGCTTTGAAATCTTTGCTCTTAACTTTATTTGTGACTGCTTCACTTACTTCTTGATTGTTGAAAGAGTATCCTTAGTAGTTATACTGAAACTTGTCTATTCAAAAAATTTGACTTGCAAGTTAAGACTCAGCTAAGAAAAATTAGACATCTCAATCAGAGCTACTTGACAGCATCCTTCTGTTTTCCAGCAATATATTCAATATTAAGAATATCAAGTATGAAATAAGGGTTTCACAAGGTAATTGCAATCTCACGTAAGATAAGAATTCAAACCTGATCATTTTTCGATATTTGAGAATCTGTTTGTTGCCTTCGATTTCTTAATAGCATTCTCTATAATTATTTCAATTCACCTTAATATTCTGCTTTTTTGTTCTAAATTAGCATTTTATATTTTTAACAATGCTGTTTTTCACAAGGAAGGAAAAACTGTAATTTTTTATTATAAATGTAAATCAGAATAAAATGCATCTCTCTGCAAAATCACTGGTCATCAAATAGTAAAACAGAAGTCAGAATTTAGTAGATGCTATAAACACTTACACGACTTAATTTAAGTGAAATTGCTGTGTATGAGAAGGTAATTATCAGTAAAGGTACAAGGAACTGTACACTGAGCATGATGGACCCATAAACACGTCTACCACTTTGGTCAATGCCCCATTCTTCTGTACAAAACTGGCCACAGTAACTGCCAAATTTTTTCAATCGTTGCTTGAAAATCATTGGTGCTGATAAAGATGTCGATAGCAAGCAAATTAGCTGAATAACAAACTAAGCTTCACTTAAATATATCATCAATTTTTGGCAAAACGAAAAAACTCAAATACTTTGTGACTGATATTTTTTGATAAAAAAAGAGTTGTATGAAAATTTAAACGAAATATGACTGGCAACCCATTTTTATTTGTTAACGTCTGACTTGGAAATATGATAAATTGGTTTTGAGATATGAGAAAAACAGCTAGAAAAAACAATACAAAATAATAGTCAATTTGTAATACGATAGTTTGTTTATTAATTCATTGAATAAGCATTGAAGTTTAACTTATTAATAGGTGAATAACGCAATCCACAGAATTTGCATTTCAATCATTTTAATCAGACTTCAAAGATTTAATCAAGCAGTCAAGTAAGTATTGAACTCTCTTCCATATTTGATGCTTTGTTCATGCATAGATTTTATATTAAGTAAACAAATACTTCTGAAGATAATTTGAAAATTAATCTGAAAAAGGAAATTTGAAATCTCTCACCATAACTATAATAAATGCTTGGAGCTTAGATAAAGCTTTCTTAGTTGGAAAATAAATGAGCAAAAAGCGATCCACTGAGATTGCTGAGAGAGTAAATGTTGAAAAGCATAATGAAGTACCCTAAAAACTATTTTATACTTTTTTAAATTATCCAAAAATGTTCACAAAAACTTGTTTGCTTTTATACATTTTGTGATTGTGATGCAAACGAAAAGAAAATTTCCATGCATGAAAATGAATCCAGCAATCGTTAAATAGTTTACTAGAGATTCAATTTACGAGGTTTCAAAAATCAAAAATAAACACAAGTGGACAGTTATATATATATATAACTGTCCACTTGTGTTTAGTTATATATGTATATATATAACTGGGAAAAAGAAAAAACGAGTAATTTATTTAAAATCAAAAATAAAACATATATTTTAAAATAATAATATTTAAGACATAATTGTTTTCACCAGAAAACAAAAACAAATTATTAATCAAATCATTGCATTAGTGTTGTTTTTATACAAAAGTACGTGAAAAGCTTTATCCATTTTGCTTTTGTACAATCTGCTCGTTATTCAATCAGTGCACAGTAAAAAAATTTTTCTTAACAAATACTTTTTTCAGCAAATGAGAATAATTGTAGCACACACTTTTAGTTATTAAATTATAATAATGAGAAATAATTTTCGTGTTGTAACCACAATGACAATCAATAAAAAATTCGAATTTAGAGTAAAATTAGCATATTTTGAAAAAAGTGAAAAAGTTTAATACTAACAGCAATGAAAGGAGCGATAGAGCATAATACTGCACCAAAAATCCATTCCTTTTTGAATGCTGAAATGGGTGTTATGGTGGCAGAAGTGCAGCAAACTACAAGATCTGAAGAACTTAGCGAGAATATAAACATATTAGGCACTGTCTGCAACGTTCTGAAATATAAGTCAAAGTTCATCCCACTCATTCTTATGTCTTCTAAGTAAAGAATTATTATTAAATGCTAATGCTTCGAAAGTTCTACAAATGCCATCCACATCAGCTATTATTAGCTTGGATTATTTCTTTAGAAAACAAACTTGGGAATTATTTATTTCAAATCTCATATTTAATTTAAAACTGGAATAAGTTATAAAAATACTCGTTTATTAACTATAATAATAATAAAGTTAATTCTGACTATTAATGAAAAATGAGATAATGAAATTAAAAATAATTATTGAATGAAAATGAACAAGTCTGCGATGTATTGGAAGTTGGTATCAAATATGTTTCTTCGTGAATATCAATTAGTAACATAATAATTACATGCTTATAAAGTCAACGATAAAGAACATTCTTTCTATATAATCTAAGAATGACTTCCCAAAGTAATAACGAAAATGAAAAAATGAATCAAAAGTATGCACCCACTTGGTCCTGCATATGGCTAATATTACGCAGAGATTACCCAATATGCCAACCAAAATAATAGTTGCGTAAAAAAAAGCGAAAATAAATATAGTGAGTGGATAAGTACTCCAGTCGTGTCTGTGTCGCCACAGTTCTTCATTCAGATCTAGACAAGTCTGATTTCCCATTGTATAGAGAGGGACCTTTGAACTCAGAGGTAGATCACAGAAATGAATTGATATTTCAGTAATCTGATTGAATGATGTACATGCATGTCAGAAAATAGAATACTTTTTGGCATAAGTAACTGCGAGATTTGTTTGCGGTAACTGTAAATTACAATGATACAGATAAGAAGTATATTAGCGCAAACTGATTTAGATAAAAACGAAAGCAAATTCCGTCTAAAATACATCTTTTTAAGTCTATCTGTTAGCAAGCAAAAACTATTAAAAAAGATTTTTAGTCTAGAAATAGCTAATACCTAGCTAATTTGACTGTATTAAATATAATTGTCACAATGCAAATCATATCGCTTATATAACGGCGGCGCAGAAGCGTCGCATGTACATAGCTATCGATAAGTAATAAGTCTTACTTGTATTTGCTGCATTTCGTGAATGGCGAATAGCTAGGCAAGATTGTTCGCAGAGCAAATGAAAAAAACTTCAAAATTACTCACAATGGCCAATTATCATTTGAAAAGGCTGGAAAGCACAATGGACTTTGCGAGTGATCGCTGATAAATGCAGCTAGAAAAATATCGCACGACCGTCTGTCCTTTTTATATTTAAGAATACGCAGCGAACATCTAATATTAAAATATGCTTAACTTAATGAATGAAATAAATAAAAAGTTGTAATAGAATTAAGAATGTGAACAAATTTTAGCTTCACATTAATGAAAGTTAATCTTGAAATCATTCTCGATTTTCACTTTGCTTAATTCTAAGCAGTTGTACACATAAGGCAACAATCACTCGAGATATGCTGTCAATTTTCACTAGTCCTAATTAGTATGAAAGACTGCAAGTAAAGCAAATATGTTGCTTGCAAGGCAATTATCAGCTATTTCAACTGTTGATCTTATCTAGCAATTAAATTTCGTATCTATTATTCTAAACAAAGTCAATGTAATTTGTACTAAATTGCATTTAATTGAGGTTTTGCTGTTTTAAGTAGTCATCATGATGTTCATCCTTGCTTACTTTTTTGACATTCTAACTTAAGTATTTAAATAATTGAATGAGTGAACGAATGAACAAATGAATGGATGAATTGATGAATTGATGAATGAATGGGTGAATTTTACTGCATAATTTTTGAAAATTTATATTAAAGAAAAAATACGCAACAAAATGCCACATAATCGTCTTTTTCAAATTCTTTTATCCATATAGACCAAAAAGTCTTTTACAATTCAATTAAGAAAATTAGTTCCTGTTTTTTTTTCCTCTTTTTTCAGTTTGATTCAAAAAGATTCTATTCTCAAACTAACAAATATTAAGGATAAATTTGCTTGAAAATAAATTTTTATTACATTTTTGGCTCTTTAACTTTTCCTATTTTCAACAAAAAAAATCATAACTTTTTTGACAAGTAAGCAAGCACTTTGCAAGAATCAGCACAGCCTGTTTGAGAATCTGAATCTTTGTCCTTGCAACACCATTTATTATCAAAAAATATAATACTTTTATTGGCTTGTGATTCCTTAGAAAAAAATTGCTTATAATTATTTATTTCTTCGATAATTGAAACGAAATTGTTAGCACATATCGTCTTAATTATGCAAGAAGGCTATGATTTTTAGAATAAAAATTTTTTACTGCTATTATGTCAAATCGCAATAAAAGAATTAATTAAACACTACAAGCAAAAACAGACTGAGAAAGCCTTATATTAATTTTGAAGTCAAATATTTACTATCAAAATAATGAAGGAGTGAATGGATAAAATGCATTTTGTTAATGGAATGTTGCAAGCCAATACTTTAAAAGATCCTAATTTAGACAAGTTAAATGAATTCATGGAAAATAGCGCTTGGTTATTACTTACCATTAGCGATATTCCGAATTGCTTGCTACCTACAAATTTCTAAGAATTTTGACATATAAATTTACAAAACTCTTTCATGCAATAATATACAAAGATAAAAAGAATAAAAATTATCAATATATTTATGAAGGTAATTTTAAAAGTTTAGAGGTTAATTGATAAAATATATATATATAGATATGTTTTGAGATATTTTTATCAAAAATTATTTTGTGATAAAGATCGAAATTAACTTTATGTCATCTTAATGGTTATTTTTTAAACGTAATGTTACCTTAATGTTGACTTTGACTTTTAATATAAGTAGAGAAACAAAACAGGAAATAGGCCTGTAATATTATGATATGCAAATGTAATGTGATAAAAGCAGTGCAATGCACAACATATTTTAATAATATGGCAGTGATACTTGGAAGTAACGTGGCTTGGCTACCTTCTTTTAAGCTAGCAGCTAGCCTAGCATGAATAATATGCTAGCATTGCTTCTTGCTTCTATCACTGCAATATTCCCAAAAGTAAAAATTGAAGAGAAGTAGAATGCTACACTTTTACTCTCAAAACATTTCAAAGCAGTAGCAAATCTTTCAAGTGATACTGATGAATCAATGATTTATCGCGTGCTTCATTAATTCATTACTTCTCAAACGTCACACAATAACATGTGTACGTAATCATAAATGCTACAACCTAAGAGCTCCGAATTTCTCATCAAATCTCATTTATTTTTGACGTTTATATTTTATGTAAAGGGAAAAGCTTTATGGTAGCAATTAACGCTTAATCAGAAATAGAGTGAGCCGAGAACAAGCAAGCATTCTACTTGTATACAAATTTACTTTAGAAGTTTATTTGCACACATTTTATGATTAGATATATACAAAGTATTTCTGCTAGTAAATTGAGAAGCGGAATTTTACTGTTTTAAAAAAAAATCATAACATTTCAAGCGTTTTCTTTGTATTTGCGAAAGTTTAATTTCCACTTTGCTATTCTTTCACTTTTTTAATAATCTGCTCATATGGATAATGCCTATCTCTTTACGTCAAAATATGAGATAGAAACTTTAAATAAATCTATAATCATTTTTTACTTGATTCATAATATTTTTTCTGGAATAAATTTGGAAGTAATTTATTCGGATTCGTTTGTTAATTTAATCTCAAGTTTTATAGGAACGCAGAACATGAAGGATTAAACGGAAACTTTTTAAGGGAACTCTTGATTATTTTTGAAAATTTTCGAAGCATCAATTTTGAATAAACGTATAAAAATATTAGGTAATGACGCTTTTTAACTAGTGGTAGATAATAGCTTGTATTCGAAGAAATTTCAGCTCAAAAGTCGAAAACAGCGACTGATATAGAAGAATGAACCTGTGTAGAAAAATGTCAGGTATAATTCAAATTTAGCCAGGCAGAAAGTAAGTCACTTCATTAGTTGAATTGATGTGAGTGAAAAAGTCAAAACTAAAATATTCTGCACACTAAGCAACTTGATATATATAATAGCTAGACTGGTACTTTGCACTGATTAATTTAAAATTTCCAGTGCACTATCATGCTCATCAACTTTAGTAACAAAATATTGCATAAAAATTAAAGGAAACAGCTCAAAATTTTTCTAAATTCATAAAACGATTGTAAAAATATTTTGCGAAAAACATTTGTTCATTTCAAAAGATTAAAAAGTTAAAAGAAAACAGCTCAACTTTCCCGCCAATATTCAATTAAAAATGAAGAAAAAACAAACTTGTTACCGTCCGTCACCTGCTTAATGTAATAAAACAGGTGTAACTGAAATTTTCCTATATTTATGCCTTGTTTGTTCTATCAATTTCAATCTAAAATAGCGACAAAAAAATAAAAATAAAGGAAGTCTAAATTAATCGTCATAAAAATATCTGAAATTTTCACCTATAGTTATTATTCATTTTGAAAGAATGAAACGTGTTTTATTGTTTAAAATAAAATATTATAATGATCTAAAGCTTATTTTGTACGAGCTTTAAATTACTTGCATGAAACAACAATACAAAGAGTTGCTTTGTAATGAGTAAAATTGAATTCCAGCAATATCTGAAGAGCGCTTTAAAAAGCTTGAAAAATATGGCAATAAATAGAACTAAGATTATGAATAAGTATGGGAGGGCAAAGTTAGATCTGCAAATAATGTTACTTCAGAAATAGGACATCAGGAAGTCAGCTTATTAGTTTACTTTTACTTTATATTGCTTTAAAATTCATTTATAAATTCAAATTGACGTGTTTCAGTTATAGTATTCACAGCATACGGAATTTTGCGAAAACCTTATATATTTACAAATTAAATATGATAACTTTTTGCAATTAAATGGATATAAAGCATTGACAGCTCAACTTCAAAGTAATTAGTATAGGATTAAAGATATTCATTTGAAAAGCATTATTATTAATTCGTATTTCTTTCTTTGATTGGATGCCACGCTAAAATCTCGTTGCTTTCTTTATATTAGAAAATACATATTCATTAAGCAGCAAAAAATAAAATATTCAATTTAAGTTTGTAAATAGTCAGAAATAAATCTGTTAAATGTCATATCCTTTAATTTTCTGGACGCACACATATATAACAGCTTGACTTCACAATAATTAGCATAAGACTGGAATCAGAAATATTCATTGTAAAAACATTATTATAAACACAAGCTGTGAAAAAAACAACTATATACATACATTTAATTGCTCGAAAGAACTTGTTCTGAAAACTAATGTTAATTGCAATTACTGTTACTGTGCTACTAATAATTATCGTAATTAGGTGGAAAAAACTTGAAGCTTATTTAAAAAAAACTTGTTCTCACTCATATCATAGAAAATGGTCATGAGAACTTCATAAACAAAACTGGCAGTACACGTAGACAATTTCTTCGAAGTAAAGTAGAATATTTCGAGTATGAATAGCAGACTTTTTAGATGAAATATTGTGTCAATTTTTTGCATGGGTAGATTGCTATAGTTTTGAATCCATCATTTTGATGCAATATTGAATAAAAAAACTGCTGAAGTTTATACATCACTGACTAAAATGTCTATTCTAAATAACTTCTCTTGTCAATATCATGTTTACTTAATCTCACTTACATTAATAGCAATGTACCGAAATAATGATCACTTTTACGAAGAGACAGCTTATTTCATTACATGTACTGCTTCTGTAATTTCAATTCCTGATTGGGTCAACGTGAATCAAATTATTCAACAAAAATGATAGATATAAGACAATGAATCTTTTCATTGATAAAATTTTCTAAGGAATGATTGTTCGATATTCAGCAGAGTTAAGATGTAAACAAGGAGCCAAATTGCTACGATACTAATAATACGCCCCAGAAATAATGAAGGATACGATAATAATGACCCTCTTGACCGATTCACCAGTGGCTGCAAAATCTTTCAAGTTTAGCACGTGTTCAAAAAATGATAAGAACTGTGGTTGAACTTGCTCACACTAGAACAGTTCGGAAATTCTGCAGATCACTCTAATTGTGGTTAAGAAAATTTTTATGTTAGGCACAATAACTCTACATATTTGAAAATTCAGTTCTAAGGAATATCATAAAAGTAAGATGGAAAACCAATGAATATTATATACATATTTACACATAAATAAAGTCAATCCTTCAAAAGGGAAGTATAATAAACATGCAAATTACTTCAGAGTACAACAGAACAAATCAGAGAACAAACATTTGGTAAATAAAAAGCAGACTCATATGTAAAATATTTTGTACCGAAATACAGAAATCTTGTGCATAACTTAAACATAATACAAATACCTTTCCAAACTCTCTTAAACCGACATAATTTCAATTGAGCAAAAGAGAAATTAGCTAAAATGCAAAGCTAAAAATAAAATGATAGAATAACTTCCTTTTCATTTCTCATGAAAGTAAATTCATATATATATTCCTGAAAAAAATTCGTCGACTAAAGAAACTAGCCAAATCAAATGCACTTCAAAACGGACTATCTCTTGATAGCTGTGAAAAATTTTATCATTAAAGATATCTCAATCCAGAATTATAAACTAGAAGCATTGGACTCTCGCTATTGTCTAGAAGAAATGTCTTTAAAGACCTGGGAATAACTTTTTTCACAATCTAGTGTAAATAAAATACTAATACTCTGCTTGATTTTTTGAAGAAATTTCACCCATTTAAATTTGATACACAAAATTATTGATATAAATGCAGTATTAATAATAAAATCATTGTTTTTAAGAAATCAATGACCTCTGCGAAAAATCGACTTATTTTTATTCTCCCTTAATTTTTATAACATACTTTCGTTAATAATTATAAATTACACTGTCATTTACCACTAACAGAATTATCGAAAATGATGAATAACAAGAAGGCTTATTCTCACTGATTGATATAACATATGCTTTACATTCTTACTAACTCTTTAGTGAAATTTTCAGAAACTTGGGAATGAAGTGGCCCAAATATTGTGAAAGTGTGTGAAAATACTCAAATATTATTAGTTCTATTATCGTGCACAACTGACTCGACCTAGGTATATGAACTTCATCCAACTTCTTTCAACGATTCACTGCTGCAATTGCCAAAAATTCAGACTACTTTGAGTATCCAATGTTGCGATTGATGGATTTGTAGGATGCCACCTTGAATTGAATCAAATATCAAGAGAGATATATTACTCAAGACGATGTTTACAAGATGATCTTTTAATTTAAAAGTGATCAAATTTTCAAAAGCAAATTTACATACAAGTTTGACTTATAATTTTTAATCTTCATTACATTTACTGGTACTAAAAAAACATACAGATGCATGAGCAAGCAGTAACAAACCTCAGCACAGTATTTTTAGCGGAACACTTCGCAACACAAGGCCATTCAGCAATCTGCATTACATCTCGCAAGTCACATAAGGCGATTCTAAAATTAATTCAGTAAACGAAGTTTAAAAAACTCAATTGCTCATTATTATTTTCAGCTGCTTAACAAAATATTAACAGTCTATTTTGATAAACTTAAAAATTATACTTCGTATATTCCTATTAAAGTAATGAATAAATAACGAATTGCACATAAATAATTGAAAATATCCACTAAAGCAGAAACCGAAAATTTGAAATAATAAATTTTTAAAGTTCGAGAAACAAATTGCCCCATCTGCATTTCATTAAACTTTTCAACACTTTTCAAATGCATACCGATCCTTATCAGCTACAGCCAGTAAACGTTGCGTATGTGCTAAGCGAAGACAAGAAATTGGTTGAGACGAAAATCGCTTAGTAGTAATCTTCTTCATTGAAGACGTGTCAAATATATGTATAACACCACCCGCATCTCCTCGTATTAAAATTCGGCCAGTACCATCCACGTGGAAAACACAAGTTGCTTTATAAGAAAAATTATTACTAATTCTCAAAGATATGATATAAACATAAAAATTCACAGAGTATCCCATGTAGATAATTCCAAACGATAACATTTATCGATAAACTTTAAGAAATCTAACTACGCTTAGGAAGAAGAAATAGGCAAGTTAGAATAAAGTGAACCATTATACATGTAATCATTTCAATGTAAACTATGCATATAAAATTCCATAAATAGGTGAAAACTATTAAAAGTATTACAGGAAAAACTTAAATATTGCTGAAAAAGATATGATTTAAACCAGTAAAAACAATCGTTCTTTTTAACTTCTATTGATAAAATAAGTAGAACATAAAAGTTAGAAGAGAAAAGCATTACCAATAGGTTTTCTAAGTGGATCAAACACTCGTACTGCTTCACTAACACGCATATCCCACAAACGGATCGTTCTGTCTGCAGACGAACTTGCAAACATACAACCACCCCATGTACAAAATGATGTTATTACACCTGAAAGCAACCAAATCCGAATAATTATTCAGAAATCCAATAATAGAATGTTTAAAGTCATCAATACAACTCGATATCAAAGAAACTTACCACGATGGCCTCTCAAGACACGAAAAGTGGTGCCAGAAGAACAATCAGTAATACAAATTTGGCAACCAACACCAGAAAATAAAATATTTGAATGATTAGCCAAATCCTCCATAAATGTTAAGGCTCGAACAGAATCATTCATAGACATGCTCATTTTTCGATTTCCTAATTACTATTAATTCTTTTACGAATACCGTTTGATCTCGACAAAATAATGTTATCTCCATAGCAATGTTATCTCTTCATGTCTTTACGATTTTTGAATGCACTACATCAGCAGATCATTGTAAAGCATTTGTAAAATATTTGTAGTAAGTGGAAAATAAAACAGACATTGTCTAATTTTCATTTTCATAAAATAGAGAGGACAGTATTTTATCATTTTCAATACAGAATTTAATAGCCATTTATTCAACCTGGCTTTGATATATCCACTTTAAAAGAGGACAACTCGATTTTATTTTCATTCGAACAAGTGGCGATCAAGTCAGCAGTTGGATTGAATGCGATATCCGTGATTTTGGATTGATGCCGTTCGCACGCATTTGACACTATCAGTGTTTCGTTCCTTAATTCTTAATCAGTGAAATGCAAAGTCGGAGAGTAGTTGGAACAAAACCTTACTTACATGTTCCATATCGCCTCCGTTAGTCCCAACACTCTCCGTCAAAGCGTTAATACTTAAGTAATGAAAATATCTGACACAACTGGTTAAAATTTTAAAGAGCCTCGCATTCTGGAAATAATAAGCTTGATAAAATCAAGTGAATAACAAAAAATAATTACAACATATGCAATGATATAAGTTGGCCATTATCCTGGCCAACCAGAAAGGTAGATCCGTCAGGACTGATCTCGAGACAAGAAGCTTTCTGACCCAGACAGTACTTCGCATGCATCCATTTCGATATCTCTTCCTTTTAAAAATTTCCTGTCTTATTATGAGCTAAATATTCACTTCTATTCAATAAATATTGAATCCAATATTCAAATCAAAACACAAATTTGAATATATATTGTAAGGACAAATGAATTGTGAACTATGCAAAAAGCAAAAAACAAAAAGTGCACATTTTAATTATACGAAATAATAATTTGTACCTTACACCCCCCTCCCCTGACTGACTGAGTACGAATTTTATGCTCAATTCATCTCTACATAGGAATGTAATAAAGTGACAATTACCTTTGAAAATATTGCATCAAAGATAGCGGACTGAGGCGATAATGATGATGACATGTCTGGTTTGCTACAATTTATTGGTCACATTAATACGGTTTTTTGAGACTCTTGCATTGCATTTCTTCGCTAAAAGGTCGTATATTTAAGTAAGAAAGAGGAGGTCAATGACTTACACTCAATTATTTCTAATACTTCACTGACGCGAAAACATCATCTGTCACAATACAATCAGTGAATCGCACATCATGTAATCATTCTCAGACCCACAGAATGTTTACTAGCAAGTCATGCATAGAGAAATTTGGAGAATTATAACGACCAGAAGAATCACATCTGTAAATTGGAGCAGTGAAACGTGACTCAAAATCAAAACAAGAATGCTAGCTAATATTGATGGGGAAATATTGACTCTTGTGTACGAATAAGACAAAAGTAGTGCTTGAATTTCAGTTCTGCAGCAACCAAACAATAAGAAATAAATATAGAGAGTGACAATGAGCAGTACACCACTCCTTCCCTTACTGTAGAGTTCATAATTTTATTGAGGAGACGTAAGAATAATTCCCGATGATCTGCTGTACATGACAAGATCAGGACCAGTAGGTCCTCAAGGTTTATGCAACACAAAACTGAAACAGAATGCATGTCTACCATTCCTTTCAACCACGGAAGGATGTACAGAAAAAGTGGAAGTTAGCGTCAGTGACCCACATTGGACAACATCCTCTCTGGTCGATGAGATTAATTTACATACCTACGACCTCCTGCACTAATCTGCGTTAATTTTAGGCCTTAATATGTTTCCATCCAAATAAACCAAAACATAGAAAATACATCTTCCTTCTATTAATCACTGTACTAAAATGTACAACACTTAGTGACATGATAGCTATCCACACGCCCACTTGCAGTGTTCCCTGAGTACCGCTTAAGCCTCCACATGTCAGAACATAACCTACACTATGACAAGGATCTGTTTTCGTACCACATTTGTATAGAGTAACAGACTAATCCCGAGGCTACAGACATGAGTACACTTCCAACGTCTACTCTAACGTCTAAAATATGAAATTGGAGGATTAACCTTTTATAAAGACGTATTCGTCTAAACATTAGACGACCTTTCCATTTACCTGTTGTTTAATAGAGTTTGTAATCACTACAACACAAAAAACTAAGGTGCGACGCCACCCATATGAAAACTGCTGTTCCTTCTGCCGTCTTTGCCAACATCCCTCAGTTCCTAACTTTCAGAAACTAAAAAAGAAAAAACTACCATATTTACAAACTTTATAAACCCGTATAATTTCTACAAATCTTCCATACCTGTTCCCAAATTTCCAAAACCACTAGTTCGTAATACTTCACCGCAATTCAAAAATTACCTTATTCAAATTATTCTTCTATGATAAATCCCACAAAATAGAATTCCTAACCCTGTACTGCTTGGAAATCCGTTATTACATATGCTTTCAGAAACAATATAATCTTAGCAGTAGCGATGACACATCGATCAATGGAAGAAATAACAATAGTTACAACCACAATATCATGAAACATGAATAACCCACCCGTTGTAGATAGCACATTGTAGTATGGACAACAATGAAAACGATGAGAAGGATAAGAACTAGGAAGAAGTTTAGCCATCAATGTCTGAACACAATATGAAAAAAGAAATCGGTATGGAAATACAAATGAGTGGTAGAGCGTTAACAGAGCACATACGATTGATTAGGGACGAAGTGGAGCAGCACCTCTTTCGACTCCAGTTTCGCTAGCAGAGGAGGTGCAGCTCTCCCAGTCGCTACTCTCGTGAACACATAGTATGACGACTAACTCGTCTTTCTTTTGCAAAGATAACTGATGCATAGCAACAATATTATATGCAAGCAACAATATTATATGCATCTCCGATTTCGTTACCATCCATAAGATCACCAAACTGATAACATGAATAAAACAATCATATGTCCCAACACATTGATATTATAAAATTTTCCCTACAAAATAAACTACTAGATAACATATGTATGAGCTTAAATTTAGGCAGCAACCCAACACGATATTCATCTACAATGACAAAAGAAATAAAACGACACGTATAAGGATCTTGAGAATAGCATCCCTTTTCATTTACAAATACCAAATAACACATACTAAGTTCAAAAAGAAGTCCCGTTTCATCTTGATCACCATCTTCTCGTACTGGATATATGGCTAGTGGTGCATGACTGCAGATTACCATCAAAACATCACAACAATCGATTCTTAATGTGACGCACGTCCAGTATTATGACCTAAAAAGCATTCATCGTCATTTATCACATCAGTTGTTCTGTACTTCTGTACTTCTGTACTTCTGCACAGCAGATCCAGAAACGAAATTCCAAAATGTCTTGCATGTAAGATCGTCTAAAATTCTCACTGTGCCGTCACTTGCTGATGCACCAACTTTATCACCACGGAAATTCCAACCCACTTCGAAAATTCCACCATCACTCATATTCCCCGTATGGCTTTGAATTACTTTTCCAGACTGAAAGCAAATTTTTTAATAACTATTTCGATATGTTCCCAATAAAAATAAAAGCAATTACCCCAAGCCGGAAAAAGATGTTGAATAAAATGGCTAAAACCACTGAGCAGACTTTTAAAATCAGAATACTGCTTCGCGCTTTGCTTACCACTTTTGCACTACCTCAACACAAGGCAGAAAGCAAAGTAAGAATACCGCAACTTATGATGTTAAGAAAAGATGTGCGAGTACTTAAATTCTTTTCGTGCAGAAATAAGACAATTGACACAACAAATAGAGCTACAAGCTTACCTGTACATCCCAAATATAAACTGATCGATCAAATGATCCCGATGCAATGTATTTTCCATCCGGTGAAAAACCAACTGAATAAACAGGCTCTGTATGTTTAGTTAGAGTGCGAACACACATGCCACGTTCAATATCCCACAGACGAACTGTATGGTCAAAAGATGCACTGCAAAAGAAATGGTAGAAATTTCAATGTGTATTACAAGTAGAAATTTCAAAAATCGGATTCTTTCACGAACAAAATATAACCTTGCAAGAGTATAGCCAACTGGAGACCATCGTATTGTATAGATTTCTTTATCGTGTGCTTTCAAGTTATGCACCACATTTTCGTAATTCATTGACCAAACCTAGAAATAAATAAGTGAAGAAAGCGTAGTAATTTGTTACTGCATCCACCCTTCAACGATGTACTCGGTTAATTTTAACCACCTTCAATGTCATGTCATCGGAGCATGATGCCAAAAGTCGGGAATAGACATCATATTTCACAGCGTTAACTTCATTAGTGTGACCCTAAAAAACAGCGAAGAATAATTTTCAGCAAATCAATAACAAAAATTCCAGAACTTCCAGTTGGAACTAATAGTTTTAGAAACATCAATTGCTTGATAATAGAAAAAATTTATTTAGCTGACTGTGAAAATAATATGCAGTCTACGAATATATTTATATTTATATCAATCAATTCTACAACACACAGACTACCTGAAAGGTTTTTAAGGGCTTTTCACAACCCAATTTACATACATGAATACACATGTCTGTACTGCACGATGCGAATGTATCATCTGACATCCAATCAACATCTAATGCTGAACTACTGTGAAACTGAAACACTTGGACTTGTATGCCCTTTAACGGATCCCAAACAATCGTGGTCTGAAATTACCGAACTCAAAAGAAGGCATGCATGGAAATTAATTGAAAATAATAAGCAAGAACATGTAAATGCATAAAACCTTATCAACTCCCGCACTTAAAATCTTGTCGCCTCTTTGGTTCCATTTAAGTGCAAAAATTGGACCTTTGTGGGCTCCCAAGGTATAACGCAATCTTCCTAAAAGCATGTGTAGAATTAAATTTAAACACTACCAATATATTAGAAATCCATAAAAACGTAAAACATACCATCTGTAGCCCATACTCGAGCATAACCGTCATAACATCCCGTAGCAAGTAAGTCACCCGTACACTAAAAATATTAATTTTTAAATCTTGCAAGAACTATCATGGAAATGAGCAAATAAAACAACAAAAATTCGAATGAGAACAAAGAAAAGTTCGCAAAATGACTTCATAAACAATCTTTGGAATATTTAATAGCAACCATACTGTAGCTGTGGAACTGATTACAACAAAAACATGTTTTGTTCTCAGTTGCTGAATCAATTAAAACTATTTTCATAGTTGACAACTGACAAATATTTCACAAATGGTGCAAATGCCAATCATACGCCAGCAGCAACTACAATGAAATTATTCAAAAAGACACATTAACGAACATTCCAATCAAGAGAAGTAACATCTTTATTTGCAGGAGGATTTTTGTCATCTTTCTGCATACAATGCTTGAGCACTAGTGAATTATCATGGAGAAATTGTGATGATGTTGTAGCTAGCTCTGAACCATGTACATTCCATATACGCGCTGTACTATCACCGGACCTAAAAAACTAACTTTTAAATGTCTTTTAAACACAAAAATTATTCTTCAATATATGTTCGATAACATGTTGGATGCTGCCAACATATATTTTCGTCACTACTCTTAATGAATGAATGAAAACGACACGAATAACACCAATTTTTAGACTACAAACTTCCTGGACATCCTCAAATATTTGGTTTCACAGAGTTCGCAGAGAACTGAACAGAAAAAAGGGAAGCTACTAAGGGATTAGAACACTTCAAAGTTTTAAAGTTTACCCAGAAGCTATGAGATCATTTTTTGGATTCCACGTACAAATAAATACCTCGCTATCGTGTCCCTTCAGATACCGTACCTTAAACAAACAAATCCTGAAAAGGTGAAACTTGGACTGAATAGCTCAACAGTTCATTGAATCTTTTGCTCTTTGCTCCGCAACGCTCTTTTGATTTCCGACTTCTAAAATCTTCCCATGTTGAGTTGCGAGCATTTATTTAATCACCTTATCCCTGCTAATTTCATACGGTCGATTTTCTAGCTGCGCACTTGAAAGAATACCATTACCATTGTTCACATGTGGTGTTAAACCATCAGTATCCATTGGTGTTCCATTGAAGTCGCTACAAAATGTTGACTCTTAATATTTACTTATACAAAAAGTTTCGATTTAAGTATGTATGTAATAGTCTCCAGAACACACGTATATAAATCAGTACTATCAGGCATGAGGAAAGTATGATTCAAAAATTAATCAGAAAACCATACTTTCTGCAATAGAAGCATAACCCAAGCTAAAAAAAATACTATAACTTAAGTATGTAATCCGCTAAACAGCAGAATTCAGAAACATATAAATTTGATAAAGATTCAAGAACAAACCCGTTGTTCGCCTGGGCAGCACGAAGCTCAGCAGCAGCAACTTTGACTTTGCCCATAATACCGTTTTGAGAACGTTCTCGAGATTCCCTCTCTCGGTCCTGAAGGAACTGCTTCCCATGATACGCAGACTGCCCGGTGATGCTAACAGTTGCAGGATGGAACTGCTGATGATTGTTGGGTAGTAAAGGAGTTGCACTGGTTGTTGCCAACCCAACAGGATTTTGATTTGAAATGCTACTGCTGCTACTACTACAACCACCACCAACCGTTACAGAAGACTGACCAATGTTTGTGGGAGGTACTGTTTGCGAGGATGTGGAAGGTATTGTCTGAAAAAATATATCCACGAAACTCTAGGTATTATTTTCCAATCTCAATTCTTCCTACAACAATTCACTTAAAATAGCTGACTTGATATGACTGACAATTCTCAACTGAAATCCCAAATTAAACCTTTAGGTCCTTCCCTTTTGCCGAATAGTTTTGCCTTTCAGCATGTACCTCACGCATTTCTCTATCTCTTATTTGTTGCTGTTGCTGTTGCTGCTGCTGTTGTTGCTTATCATTCTTTGCTGCTGCATTGACCATCACCAGCTTGTCTTGTTGCCTCTCCTTAACCTTACCACTGGGTACTTCGTTCAAAACTGCAACCAACACATACGTCATTGATTTCGCACAGCAAAACGTTTGGAGTAAAGTTCTACGACATTGAAATTGTTAACAAAAACAACTCAAACTAAATTTAAATTTCTAAGATGTAAAAAGTATGAAACGATCTTCCTCACTATTTTAATAGTTTGCATTTGTATAATGACAAACGCCAAAATATAAAAAGAATTATTTCTTTAAGGCAAACAAATCCTCTACAACGAATACTAGCAGAAAACTAAACAACAAGCAACAATTATAGAACTCCAACGTACATGAAGTAGTATATTAATCAGTACAATTTAACTACTCCCACAGATTGTAAAAAATAAATCTTTTAAATATAAAAATATAAATCGATGAATAGGAAGTTGTTTCCATCAAATAATATGAATGAAAGAAATTGTCACAAACTATTAATTACCTGCTTCAAGCAACGACAAATTTTCTACTGTCGATTTTCCTGACCTAGAATCACCAGGGGTACTCGTATTTGCCACAGCACATGCTTCAGCCTCAGTATAATAAATACCTTTCTGCAACTTTCTAGTACTGGATCAAGTTTTAGGCGCTTAAACTTCTAATAATTTACCATCTTACTTCTTTATAGTAAATTATTTTGAAAGAGGACAAATTATAGAGGTAAATGCATGAGGAGTGTCATTTAGGTTAGACGAACAGGAAAGAAAACCTGTATAATGTTAATAAGTGCACCCATGGGTACATCGTTACCAGCAGCTCCTGACTCAAGAACTCGCGATTCATTGGCAAATGTGTATGCGGTATGTACAAAACCTGCACAGTTAATATAACAGAAAAATTCTGACGGTAACACACTTAAATAATTAGAAATAGTAGACGACTTAATTTAGAATAAAAGTGGCATTCAATGCATTTAATGCTTACATAAGGAATAATCATTTAGACAAACCCTATTTTAAAAAACATCAAACATAAGACTTGCGATTCCAGTTTAAGCTTTAAAAATTTGCTCTTCACACAAATGCTACAATATCCAACATGGAAATCTATTAAAAATTAATTTACTTAAAAAGACTAAAAACAGACAAATGTCCAACAATATCTCATCTAATCACTTTCACATATATGTACCAAGCAATCAGGTTTTTTTCAAGTATAATTAATGAGAGCATAAAATGATCTATGAATTCTTAAAAATATTACAAACCAAAGTCTACAGTAAGACAGCTAAAATTGCATTTAATCTTAATTACCCCACTACTTCCCACTTTATGAACTGCTAATAGAGTCAGATCGCAATGCCTTTTCTGCACAGTTAACTGATTAGTGGAATGAATTATGAATGCAGAAAAGAGTCATCATTAGTCAAAATAATTCTTTATTCATTGGGGATATAATTGATGAAATAAAAGTAGGCAAACCTGACTCATGAAGATATCGATAAATTATAAAATTCACGTCGTCACTAGTAAAAGTCATCCCCGCACTGTGGTAATATAATCAATTTTGGAAACCTCAGAAACAGAGAGATTTGACAGATAAACGAGGGTAACGATATACCGAAAAATGACAACCCGGAAAAGATTGTCGTACACGGATGGTGCATGCCAGCGTGCACCTGATAATAATAAATTGTCTGGATTACCAGCAGCAGAACAACAGCCAGCACAATTTTATTTACGCCAAAAAGGTTCACAGACTGAAGCTTGATATTTCGTTTTCAACACAACAAAATAAAATTCCTATCTGCTTGCTTTTGTTCTGTTTTTCCGATAATCTAATCCCTGAAGTTGCACTGTTTGCTTACATAAAAACGTCTAAAAGATAAATTATTTAAAAACACCGTCATTCGATGTCAACCATCCATTTAATTACATGCCCAAACATACGCTTGCTTGGCTACTTATTCTTTCTGTTACTTTCATTTTATTATGGGAAATTTTTCTTGGAAAGATAAAGCAACACATGACAGGATAAAAAAAGGAAAAATAATGGAGCAGAAAACCGTGAGCAGAAGTCCTCTCAAAGTATAGTACAGTTTGGTTACAATACACGAAACGAGTAAGAGCTTGCAAACATAAGTTAGAAAAGGATGAGAAAACTCGAGTAAATCTCAGATGACGACGTTTACTCTCTTCCCTTTCCCTTCCCTCCCGTACTCGCTTTCTCATTAGTGGCAAATAGTGATGGATGATGGGACGCAAATGAAAACACCACGAACAAAAATGATAAATTAGCATTAGCGATAAGTATCACTCACGTAACCTTTAGCATTTCCAAGCTCAGTACAGAACCAAAACTCTGGAATCATCGCAAGAGAGTGCTTTTAACCTCTACGTTTTTTTTTTCGTAATCTACTAAAAGAATTTAGGAAATTATAGAATGGATGGTGTATTGTGAAGAATGTGATGGGTAAAACGGGATTTCTGCACTCATCACAGTCTAAGACTTGTAAAAAGAAGTGCCATAACTCGAAAGCTACTCATTATTTTTCTGGCAGTAGTGCAATATTCCTTGGCCTTCCCCACTGTTTATCAAAATGACCTTGGTATGGAGCAAGGAAGGCAAAAAGGAATGACTACAAATGTTCCTTTCCCCTTCTGTCGCACACGCATTTGTTGCACTCACCAACTTCTGGCCTACACGCCTGGAACAACTCATTCTTGCATGTCGATAAACAATTTGTTCTGATTTCTAAATTTCGAAAAAAAAATCTTGACGCAATCTGTAGGCTTCTTGTGCCGATTATCCTTGCCCTCTTTCCTCTTGCACAGACAACAACACTGACAATTTTTCCTCCCTGTTAAGCAAAAGCAGTCGTCAAGGTGACCATCTGGAACCAGACAAGCTTCTCGCTCTTCCTTTAAAATCCGTCACTTCAATTTGCATTACTGGAAACTGCGTTCAAATTAGATTTATCACTATTCAGTAAATCCCCATTATAATTTTTCAACTCTGAAAAACTTGGCAGAATCTAACGACAGCACCAGCAATGCAAACTGGAAATCTTGCTGTCATACTGCCTTCCGTCTCCACACTGTCTCCTTGTATCCGTCTTTCGACGGTAGGACCCATTATTTACTATAATTCGGTCATTCTCACTGCAATACAAATTCGAATGCATAACAGCACTCATTTGCGAATTGCCAATACACATATAATTTAATAAATGACATGGAATTGAAGTTAGTTAAGTTCAGAAATTTATCCACGGTAAAATGATAAAATAAAACCATGGAAGAGTAAAACCAGTTCTCATCTGTCCTCGTATCACTGAGCAGGCAGGTAGCTGACTGAAAAAGTTCACAGAAATTGAAAACAAGGGAAATTGAAAAGTTGACCGCAAGAGTTCCTCCAGACTTTCCATTTACAACCACATCAACATTAGGAACTCAATCATGCCAATAATGAATGCACGAGGGGATGTATACAACCTCCTCCTCCCCTAGTGCACATACAATAAACGTTTTACGATACATTGGTGTGCAGTATCTATATTTTTCTACATCCTGCAAACGTTATTTCGAAACTAACCCATACCTCAACATTCCACCATCTTATCCAGTCACATCCAAACACTTTCATGATTTTCAAATAAAGTTAAGTAGCCAACCCAGCACCCAGCATTGTTCGAGCTGGCCAAGAAGTGTAAAGATTAGAGAAAGTCGCAAGCTGTACATTTGCTCAATAGAACTACCCATCCATTCTAACAATAGAATGTCTCGGGAGAGGCAGAAGGATAATGAAGGGCTTTGCAGACTAGCATGAAGCATAAAACGCCTAAAACTTGTTATTGAAATGTTACACGCATTTCCAACGTGACAACGAAAAATTAAAGATGGAAAACAACTAACTTCAGTACTTGCAAATACCTGCTCGTACTGAATTTCAGAAATAGATTATTATGCGTGATTCCTAATACAACTGATGAAGCTATTGTTGCTATTACTCAGCACTGGCATTGCGAAAATACTTCGAGCAAAGAATTTAGTTGTGATAAAATGAGACGGTCCCCTCGTACTTGCATGGCTGAGAATTGCAGTGAGTGAAGGGAGGAGAAGAATGCCAGTGTAGGGAGGGAGGGGTTTTGCCTCGTTCTTATCAGTTTTGCTCCTCATACATACGTCAAGTACGCGACGACTCACGTTAACACGCTCGTTTCAATGGCATGATATTGAGCAAGTAACAAGGAAGACTGGGACTGCCCGAGAACTTGCCTGCCTGTCTCGGGCAGTCATGCTAGTCCGAAAAAAGCTACTAAATGTATCAGTGCATTGCAAAACCAGCACTGTCGTGATCGATGCCGGTCTCTTTCATTTAGCAAAAGCTCTAACTTACTCCTCAGGTTGAACCAAACAGAAATGAGTGTGCCGTATGGATTCAAGATGTTATGTATAATAATCCTTCATTACTAACCGGAAAGCAGCTTAATTTTAAGCTCCTATCATAATATAATAATGAATGAGAGTTGTGATTCATCATAGCTCCCGTACAGGTACATCACAGATTAAAAACAGTAGTCTTGAAAATTGTAGTTAAGTGGAAGAAGGGGATTCTTTGCATTACATCATTACAAATCAATTAAACACGAAGTGTCCCAAGCAAATATTCCGTATATGACAACTTCAATAACAGTTCAAACTAATAATTTTATACTCCTTTACTTACTATGGTCACTGATCACAGTAGAAAAATGAATATAAGTTATGAATAGCAATGAAAAGACAGCTTTCACGAAAGAAACCTTCGAATGCTACCATCTGTGAGTCAAAATGAGATTGCTCTTCAAATGATTAAAAATAATCTATATAAAAAGTGACGTTGCAACTAATAACTACAGGAAAATACTATGGCACTGCTGAAATACGCTTGATATTAATACTGCTCGTTACTTTTGTGCTCTGCTCACTATCACGAATTATTTGCTCACCGTAAATACGACCTTATCACTGCAAAGGGAAGCACAGTTCAGGTGTGCACAATTTTTGTCTTCACCAGATGTGATCTATTTACAGTGACGTGAACACACTGAATTAATCTCCGACAAAACTCTTCTCTCTGCAAAAAAGCGCATCTTGAAGGCTTCTCCAACTTCAAAACCGATGGTACGTTACAGAAAGAGACAGACAGCTTTGCTTTAGAATGTGATAGATATGCAAAATCTGCATACATTCATTTATTTATGTAAATTCCTCACTGACCTTTTCTATTGGTGATATTAGGTAATGACGAAGCAGTAATGCGAGAAAATGCTGCTGAGTAAGCAAAAAACAAAACAATAGGTATATATGAGTAAGCTATGAATGCGATATACGGATAAATTAGAATATTTCGAATAGGAGATATATTTAAACAAGGAAGATTTTCTAGAAGACGCAGAGTTAGAGAGAATAAAAAATGAAGAAAATCTAGTAAGGGCAAACCAATAATGAAGTATAGTCAGTTTATTCATAGTTTAATTAAAAGCATTAAACATACTAATAAAATGGAACGAAGACCCTCAAGCTATAGCACTTCAACAAATAACGAGGAGGAGAGAATTTACAACATTCACAGTTCACTTTATCACGCTTTTTCATCTCAAGAAAACATTGCTAAGTTTTCGTGCTGCCATTGTTCACCACGCACATACGATATAATTATTACCATTTCTAGCTGCCGTCAGCAAATCTAACGTGTAATGACTATTATATTAATGCATAACTTTTTTCTTCTACTCTCTCCTTCTGAGTATTTTAGTTCTACACAAAATGTGGTAATCACAACTGGAAACACGAAACGTGAAAGATCGATAAATTTGCAGATATATGACGCCATTTAAGTCACCACTACAGAATAACCATTTGGGAATTAAGCGCATACACATCCTCCTCAACTTCATGTTAATTGCAACCTTCACTTTATCCACACCATATCACGTAGGCTATCTTTCACGGCACTCTGCATCTCTCACACTGCACCCGTTCGTGCAAAACACAACTCATTCACAAATTATGAAAAAAATGCCACACAGGCGGCTCTCCTGCAGCCATTAGTTACTATCTTTACTCTCGATTCCTGGCGTCTGGCTCAGTCTAGAACAAATGACAAATAATAATGACGGGGCAAGACAGAGAGTGAGATAGTGGAGGAAGTGGGGGACCATATAAAACGAACTAACGGCTGACTACACATAGCGAGAAAAAGAGAGGGGACCGTCTTATGGTTGTCCAGAGGTTCTTGCTAAGGAGTAGACATTTAGTCATTTACGAGAGGGAAGGAGTCTCTTCAGAACAACAAAAAAGCGACCTAATTTTAGGAGCAAAAAGAACAGCAACGAAAGCCGTATGCGTGACAACAGTGTATCCACATTTCGGTCCCACCCATGACATCATTATATTTATATATATAGGTTAAAGGTTATTCGACACGTTAATTTCTGTGCCTCCATTCTACGTGCTTACTACATTTCTGCTACAACTGGTAGTTTGTAGGGTTACTCAAAACATTATTCATTGTAATTTACGAGCATAAGAAGAGAAAATATTTCTAAACAGCAGTACTGACGCTGTAAACTCTTTAAAGAGGAAGTGGTCAGGCCGGAGATTAACGTTTGCTTGCATAGCTTTCTCGATTCTTTGAAAAGATAATTTCAGAGTATTGATAGAGCTTGACGCTGCCTTTTTTCTTGACTTATTCAACTTCAACAACAGTATTAACAAGCGTCAATTAGCCAAATATAAATGAGCATGAGTGCAGATAAACTTCATTTTTCTCGATACTTTGCAGCAAATACTACTGCACACTGAGATATTAAATTTAAGTAATTTTGCTAAGAACTATTACATAAAATGTGCAGCAGTATATTGAAAGCGATACACGTTAAATACGTGATGAGGGCAGAGTCAGCTATAAACAGTAATATACACGTTAGTACCATTGCTGCGCTGGTACGAGATGTCCATTTTCCACACTACCACTTTCTGCTTTTTCCACTGGCTTCGATCAATAAGTTATGCGCCAAAGGTATTACACAGCAGGGACCATCTCTATTTCAAAAAATATGTGAGCATCATAACTAAAACGCTGTGCGTGTACTCCTGTCTAACCGTAAGTACATGCATAAGTACACAGAGGTATAAAAATATGCGTAACTGAACATTTTTGCCAGTGACAAAGGATTGCCCCTAACGGTAACATACTACACCTTCCCCCAATAAAAAGCATCACTACCTGCCGTATCTTTACACCCATTCTAGCTGCAAATGTGGGGAAAATGTACTACTCTAACAATATAATCATATATTGCCACGGACGATATGACCTCTAAATCATATCACTTGACCTTTCATACTCACGGAGCACTTGGACCTTTCATATTTGCTGATGGGGAAAGTCTCATATAAAATGAAAGTAGGATGAAAGATTTGCTTGCAATGGTTATCTGCGGTTCGTTCACTTTCTTAATTTAAATAGTCTTCCACTAATTTCTTTTCAGCAACCCCTGTAATCTCATAATTCTGATTTGTTTCGCTTAAATTCATTCTTGGAAATGTAACAATTGTTTTTGCAGTCCTAGCGTAAAATAAGTTAGTACTCTAACATTGTGAAATTTCATTCTCTTCACATTAGTAATGTCCCGTGTGCTATTAATGATATCAAGGTTATGACTTTCAGAACATTCTCTTCCTTTCTTTAAAATTACTAGTAAGTTCAAGTAGTGGATCGATTTCTTGCGGACGAAGTGAGTTTACTTGTTAAAATCAGTAGTTATAACTCATGACAAAACTCGCAGTAGTACGAATTCTTTTCAAACAAGCTGTATTTAAAATAAATGAGAGGAAAGTATATATGTTATAGCTCTTAGTGTTGTGGTACATGATTCAAAATAAACAAGGCTGATTTTACCCGTATTTGCTGAAACAAATAAAAAATATTACGATGCATTGCTTCTCAAACTAGAGACTGATTTATGTACGATAATTTCATAATCCGGTTTTTAGTAGAAATTTGAAGACTGATTTGGAATGTTAGAAAAAATGTCTCGAAGCATTGCACGTATACATTGCACATAGTAAGTTAGTGTATAAATTCCATATAGTTTTAATTTGTCATCAATGTGATCTGTTCGCTTATTCTTCTTCAGGGTAATTAGACTAACAAAGCTGTGTTGTTTTTCATGCAAGTAATATGTGAAGAACGCTAATAATAATTCACAAAAAAAACAAAGCTAACTTGCACTTTCAAAATTTCTTTCATTACGCTATGCATCTAAATTATGTTTTCGCAGGGAGTGAATAATATAATGCCTATGTGCTTTGAAAAATTGTCCAGGACAGTGAATCATGCGAGATTTCGACAAACATCCTTAAAATGAATGCCAAGAAACAATTATGATCTAGTGTTCCTTTTCTAACGAAAGTCTATCTGAAACTTCCCAATTTTTAGGCTTCTTGCAAATTTGCTTAATTAGAGATTATGAGTGATGAATGATTTTTGAACCAAGCAGACACAAATTATTTAATATACATTGAATGATTGAGATGCAAGAGTAAGCAACAGTTGCGCTTCGATATACCATTCAGTTATTCTCAAGAAAAAAGGCGAGCAGGTTTGCATCTTTACTCAAACCCCCAGTGTTTACTCTCGCTGATCTTATCAAGACCGAGTATTTAAGGCTGCCCGAGCGAGCATAGTACTCTAATAAAGCGTTTATTACACAAAATAACTACACCGCAACAAGAAAATGATCGAATACATCTCGAAGAAGTTCATGTTGTAATTTCGGCAGGCGAAGAACAAAGATCAACGATTGATTCACCCTGGAATGCCACGTTCGCTCTGAATAGAAGACTCACTCATTTCATATTACATTCTTACGTACTACTCACTTTAATTGCATTGAAAATTGAAAAACTCATTACTCGTTATTTATTTACCTCCAAGGAGAAAGGGAAAAAGAGATTCTCACAAGAATAGAAAATGAGATGAAGACTTCTCAATTAAAAGCCGTCATCTCAATTACTATTCTCAATGGAAGATAGAAAGAAAGACAAACATTGTTCAGTCATTCAGTTTATTCTTTCTGCATGTTGACATAAAAGAACGAAAACTGGTAGAGCTTAAATTTGCACTCCATTGTTCAACAAAACATCTTTATGCAGACATCCAGTAATGATCACTTGAGAGCACACTTTTCAAGGTTTTATATTACCGAAAATTCATCAATTTTTCATAAATAACACATCTTGTTGGCTGAGTTAAAGCTGCTAATAGTCTCGTATAGGAAGAACTAGAAAGATAACTAGCAGAATCTATCTCTTGCATAGTCATGCATAATAGACGAAATGAATAAGAAAAAAAAAACAAGCATTTCATTTCTCCAGGCTAATAATAAATCTCTATCTAATTTCTGCGTAAAATGGACACGAAAAATAACAATTACTTATATGAAACAATGCATGAAAATTACACCGAAAAGAAACAACTATTAAATAACAATCATTAAAAGTGTGGTGTAAATCTTCTTCGTCTGCGATTTGGTTTAGAAACTTGCTTATTTGCAAACTGCAATCCTGCTAACAATGTGTCCGAAACATGATTCAGAAACTGACCGACAGCCTGACCTTCCTTACCTAATCCTCCCTAAAACAGATAAGACAAGGTCTTGCGCACATTTATAAATTTAATGTCTATTTTGCTTACATCAACTCCACAAAAGCGTCACTTACGTGGAATGTCTTGTTGCCGAAGTAATACTTCGTCTGCACGTCTATGCCTTGTTTGCTGAAAGTGATTGTCTCATTGTTTCCGTATAATTTGCCGTTGAGTAAGAGAGCACCAGCATTGCTCGTCTCAAAACTTCCATTTCTATCGCTTAAAATAAAGGTCGATCGATACTTTTAAGAAGGGAGCAACATAAATAATTTTATAGAATTTATATACTTAGTTAATTCATATGCTTCCCATTATTTTCTGTAACAATAATAGTGGGCCTTCCACCCCAGTCTCATCAATCACATAATGTTTGCCCTAGATGCGTTTTTGAAAAAGATAAATACTGTGCTCTATCAATCTTATATTTCCCAAGAGGAGAACTAAACGCCTTGGTTTAAAAAATAATTATTTAACTACGCAGATCTTGAGAAACTGAGTCTTAGCAATCGATATTTCGTAAAAAACTTTGAAAAATTTTTGTATTGAGTTCTTACTTGAATTTTCCACTTGTAAAATTTGAGAACTATTTAAGACAAAAAAAACGAACAAAAAAGTAAGCCCCGCAATGCCTCCAAATCCGCCAATGTTGATTCCTTGATGCACTATAACATCCTTATTTCCATCTGATCTGTCGATTAGAGTGACATTGCCGAAACGAATAGGGATTTTATATTGTCCACCTGCTCAACGAATAAAACATTCATTGTTTTCACTGCTCTAATTCAAGTTTATGTGAGATGCAAAATAATTTGCAATTTACTAATGCTGTTAAAGTGCTGAATTAATATTCTATTGTCTACACGTAAATGTTACCGTAGTTCACTGCAAAATACTAAGAAGTCAGTCTTTTGTTTGCTGTTAGACACAGACACTCGAACATTTCATTACAGAAAGAAGTGAGCAAAATGGACCACCTGATATGTTATCCGTAGCTACCAGACAGCAGATGATAAGCAACAACTTGCTGGACATCTTGTCAAAAATTACTAATTCTGCGCTGAAATATGTCGGTTCAAGTTATTCCATCTAAGAACATTTTTCCTAAAGTTCAAACCCTTTTCTGCAGTTTATTTTGTCATTCAGTTATAAACATTACTTTGTCTCTCTTCTCTTGCTACTATTTATAAACTATTCATTTTCCGTAAATTATTATTGAAATGCAAACTATGACATTAAAAACTCTCTTTCACCTTCCAAATAATTAAATTACAGCGATAATGCTAAACAAATAAAACAAGTTTCTTCCTCACTTCATTCTGAAATCTCTATCAATAAAAAAAGCTGACATCGAAGAATGAAACAATATAAGAATATTAATGAAATATTTGAAAATGATAGAACCGGATGAATCTACTCATTATTATAGATATAGATCAAAGATATTCCATCTTTATTATTACTGCGTCTCGTTATGATAATTAGATTGATCTTGCATTGGAGGCATATTTAAAATTATGCTATCATTATTGTTCCTATAATTATGCTATCACTATTATTATCACCATAATTATTATATTTATTACCAGTGTTCAGTAAAATTTAAGATCACTGCCATTGTTTATATTATTTCTGTCGTTATTTGTATAGTTGACAGTATCACTGAGTAAATACCGTGTTTGTTTTTTAGATTTTCTGTTTTTTCATCATTCAATATTTACCTTCGAAAAATGTTGCGCACTCGTCAAAACAAATCATTTAATTACTAATAACACGGTAAAACAACATTTTTTAAAACATAACGGCATAGAATTTTTCTCATCCATGCATTTTGCATATATGCAAGCATCACGTTCAGCAACACGCATAGTTATAATTTTAGCATCTGTTCTACATTTTCCTCTCCTTTAACACTAGTAATAAACACACTTATAATAAGGTATTAGTAGAGAATGTCTTCACTTAATGTACGGGATACATTTGCGATTTCCGAGTGCAAAGTAGCAAAAGATAGTTGTCATTCTTTATATAGGTTGCACATATAACAATATATTCACTCAGGTTCTCAGATACGAAATGGAGTCAAATTATAGAAATTACAAGGTCTGAAAGTAAAGAAATTGCTTCAGAAAAATAATGACAACAAGAAAACCCAAGCAGGTGATAAGCTACAAATTTCATTGCTATAAGATTTTCGGAAAGGATTGAAAAGAAAAGTATTAAGCTAAGCTAAAAGATTGAAAAACAAGCTTAGGTCAATAGGTCACCTAGAAGAATTGCAGTTTAAGTGTAGTACTGGTGGATGGGAGATGAAGTCAAGCTAAAGATGTTACAAGAAAGGATTTCATACGCAAAAATCTTTAAGCTTTACTAGAATCAAAATTTTTGTTCACCTTTATTTTCTCACACCAATCCATTTCCGTTCGCTCTTTCAACATAGCCTTTAGCTAAAATAAATACCGCTCGTAACTCTATTCTAAAAGCAGCATAACAATGCATTCTCTTCCAAAAACTCGCAAAGAATGCGTGAGATATAAATAAATAACGTTTTTAATTCATTTATTATCTATGGCTCCATCTCGTAGAAATTTTATAAGTTCAGTGGGCAATACTTGATAATAAAAACAATGATTATGAACGTTATCAGTGATCGAAATACTACTATTAGTATACGGTTTATGATGAAAGCCAAGTAAATCATAACAAGTATGACATGAATGGCATAATATAGATCGTCCAGCAAGTCTTTTGAGCGTGGATGGTTTGAAAGTACGAGCAATAACCGCGTCTGAAGACGTCGGTTTAGCTATTTCCATTAACTTTGAACAGATTTTCAACTGTAACTGGCATACCTAAAGTGTAAAACATTTCTCAATATAAGATTATTGTAGAGTAATCTAGAGACAAAGCATTCAATACTATCAATCACTTTATCATAACAGTTGCTATAAATGTTGAAAAATTGGAATAGTAAACCAAAAATAATTCTACTTCAACAAAAATAATCCGGTTAAATCAGAAAACAAAAGAAACAAGACAACGAACTCTGAGCATAGCTATTCTGTAAGTTGGTATTCTATCACCACTGCGCACTACCTGTTCATCAGTGCTAATAAGGTCGTGACTGACTGGATATATTCCATTCAGAACATCACCAAGCAGGGATCTTTCATCGTTTCGTCTTGTACTATAAAATCATTTAATATATATAAACTAGTAGGCTTTAAACTAGTTTTCTTAGTAAAGCTATATAAAGGCTAAAATTATTCCATTTCAAAAATTGACAGAGATCGTAAGGGCAAATTTAATTTCTCAAAAATATTATTACTTGAAAGAATTTCACTCTTATTTCTCCGAACTTTTAAAAGCAATTTACTTTTAGTGGCCAGGGAGTAAGAAATAACTTTTTTCGTTTTCACACAGTTTAGATTCAGCTGAATGTTTGAATTCTAATTCAAATGCGAACTGCTAGTCGTATTTGTTAATCAAAACATACTTTCTTAGCATTTCCATGAAATTTGTACAACGAGATACCATTTTAAAGGAATGGTTAAGCATAAATTCACCATATCTGCAAGTTTACTCCAAATAATTCATTGTATAGACAGTTATAGATAGATTCTCCTCCTATACGCAGTTAGGTTAAAATTGTTCCATCGAAAAAATGGTGCAAAAAAGAGACCATTCAAAAAACATAAAGTTAGCGATTTGAAAAAGGATAGCTAACAATCACAATCTCATACCATTTTTGCCTCTTTTCCACAATATCGTAATTTATACTGCTAAACATTAGCTTTTAATATGAAGAATAAGACAAACACTAAGAATAAAATAATGCAAAATTTATTTTATGAACTTTTCAAAGTTTTTCCTTTTCCTTAAGCATTGCTTATCAGATAACTGACAATTATTGCATTTCACAATTTTCGATTAACAAAGGCATAAGCAAAATAAATAAACGTAGCTAAATAAATGTTATAGCCTCCAAGTATGAATTAATGACTTTTGGAGAGCTTGAAAGATTATCGGTACTTATCACACTAATTTAAGCAACAATTTTCATGATACAATGAGAAAAGAAAATTTTCTTCTTTTCAAACGAAAAGAAACCTTCTTAGTTTCAGAAGTATGGAAAATTCACTGTTTCTTAAGGATGACAAAAAATTACTGAAAATTATAGTGATAACAAATTCAGGCAAAAAGAGGCACTCACAAATGACGCTAATTACGTGATAGTTTCTTTTTTTGTTTTCAAGTAAGTAAAACAATAATTGTTAACGATGCAAAGAGGACAGTGATATTCTGCACTGAATATTTTGAGAATCATTCATTGCACAAGACATAAGATGGTGATCATAGAGTATGACGTACTCAGTTAATGACTTGCCACTGCAAAGGTCGACTTCCTTGTTCAGTCCACTCTAGCCCAAGCTATTCATCATTTCCATCTCGACAGCGATTTTTTTCATCTCGTAATTGATTTTACTTCTACGTTTCTATTCGTCTATTTAAGTATTTTTTGCAGAAAATAGAGCCGGTAGCTATTAACTACTTGAAGCGGTCAAAATATAACAAATTTCCTAAGCCTTCAATATATGGCTCGAAAGGTCTATGAGCATAATAGGAAATGATGACATTATTTTTCAGACACTGCTCAACTTCTCTCAAGTTAAGTAAGAGATAAGTAAATTATAAAACTAAATGGAAAGATAAAAAATGGTTTATTTGATTTAGTACTTAACTTGTTCTTTCAGAACAAGAAACAAATTTAAGCAGGTATGGAAGAATGGTAATTATTGTAATTAATATTGGTTGCATCGTTTGTGAATAATAAAGTCTCTTCATGAGGTCGACTTGTTTCTACACTGAAAACAATGAATATTTTAAAAGCTTGCATTTGAAAAAGTATTCTCCAAATGCATGAAATAGTACTAATTACTGAAGGCAGTTGACTACCTGACTAAATTTCAAATAATGCTTACATTTATAGAGTACTTAATGCATGCAAGCGTTTTAGAATAAATGAAGTTTTAACAAACTACAATTTGGAGTATTCATTCTTCTAGAAATTTAATTCAAATTGAACGGTTGACGCATAAAAACGGGTTTGACTAAAAGTAATGTTAAGAAAATATATGAAAATGTTTGAAACCATTGGCATAGAGATATATCTCAGCTTATATGCTCAATATAAACTATTATAATATGCAAATTTTAATAATTGATGCATCATTAAATTGTGAGAGGAAAACAACCGAGCAGAGTGAAATTGCAAGTTGAAATGAAATGAAAGTAATGTCGGAATGATATTTATTTCATCGAATAGTACAATTTGAACTTCCTATAAATTTAATTCCACATTTTTTCCTCCTATCGTGTTAAACTAAAAACTGAAGAATAATTATTTTGCATAATGAAAACAGTTTTTAGTGTCATTATTTTTACCATTATCATAATAATTCTACTATTCATACAAGAATAGTAATAATTATTATTATCATAATAATAATAATAATAATAATATTAATAGTAATAATAAATGGATTATTGTTGGTATCATCATTTTATCATTATTTTTGTCAGCACTACTATCACTTTTTATTGTCACTAATATCACTATTAGAAAATGTAAAAAAGAAACATAAGTAAAATATTAATCGTGAGGATATGGATAAAGCATGGAATTAAGGTGACATCATTAAGAAGGACAAATATTAGTCATTCGTTCTCGATAATTTTATCTTTGCTTCATTTCACGGCTACCATAAAAATAATTATTTTTTGCAGTGAAAGAGTAAATAGCCTCAAATCATTACTTTATTAATCTGCATATGGAAAGTATTATCTAGAGTATCATTATACTGGAGTAGGTAAAAATAATTATAATTTTAAGCAAGATGTTAGTTAACATGGTGATAATTACAAATATTGCCTGTAGCTAATGCTTTTTTATGGACGGAAGAAAATAGAGAATTAGTGCAAAGATGAGAATAATTTAGCATAAAATTGAAATCTAGGAATTTTTGCTCTTTGGAAAATAAAATTCGGGTAGTACAAAACGGGGCTCAATTCATAAAAATTTAGCAGTAAATTCACAAAAAGTTAGTGATATTCATAAACATTTAGTAATAATGTGAACAGGAAATTATAGAAATGAAGTTATAATAAAATATATGTACTAAAGCTAAATGTCAAGTGAAGTATGGAAAACAAATTGTAAAGTTCAAAGAAATGAGTTTCGACTCGAATCTCTCCATCTGGATCTCATCATAATGCATGAAATGAGATGAGCAAAGTCGAAATTCGGGCCATGCATTTGAAAGTATTATTTAATTGGTGCAGTTATTATTTGTAGCAACGAATTTCATGCTTATACTTAAGATGAATACAATTTTTTTACCTCCAAAGTTACTTAATTTTTGAATCTATTTCGGTAGAGGAGAAAGCGACAGCTCCAACAAACGAAGCAAAGACTTATTTCCCACAATCAGATCTTCATTTGCTATAGGCTATAGAACAAAACAGTTGTTTGTGGCTTGAGTACTACGACAAAATCGAGAATATGTATTCCAATAAAAAGTATCACTGTGTTATTTCCATAACTACGATCTTAACTTAATCTAATTATCGCCATATTTTAGAAAAGACAAACATGCTGTTCAAGCTGCTGCAACATTTTTGCATACACAGATCATTGTTCTTAAATCTTTAATGAGCGCATGGAGCCGGCAAAAAATCCCAGAATAGAAATAAATCCATGTTTGTTTTTTCTCACTTCTGTATATTGACGATAATAATATTAATATATAGAAATGCGAAAAAAAAATTAGTGGTTATGCATGGAGAATCACTGCAGATTGTCAACATTTTTTATTTGAGTTCCAAAAAGAACAAATTTGGTAGTATTATGAGATTGTAAAAAAGTTGCTCTTTGTGGTGCCTGCCTTATTCATAAATTTTATTATCTTTTAGTCTTGCCATAAATTTGAAAAATAGAAATCATACTGAAACTTTAATCCTTTGATCAGTTATCTGCTAAAAATAAAATGTTTCCTTTCGTATGCTTTTACGAAATTTCTTAAACTCATGCATATTTAAAAATTTTCACGTCTTGAGCTTGTATTGTGGTAATGGAAGTATAAAATGAAGAAAAAAAATTCTGCTACTAAAATTTTAAAGAAATGTCAAAAAGCAAGCAATGCAGTAAAGAGGTAACATTTTTAAATAGCAGCGAACTGCCTGCATTTGATCTTAGTCAGCAATTCAGCTGGAAATATCGTCAAATTTTCTTACATTTTGTCTCATTACAAACTTCCTCAAACTTTTCGAAACTTTATTCAAAAATTTGCTTTAAACTTCGTTCATTTTCACTTTTTCTTTTCTTTCAGCTTATTTTTGAGAAAAAATAACACAAGCAACAAGTCATACTTATCCTTCTATACACTGACCATTACTGGTCATTACTTGCGATAATTTTTTTAATTATTTAGGTTTCAGTAAGTTTGATAAACCAACCATGAATCTGATGTAGAATAAAGTATTTTTTACACACTGATTGTTTATCTTAGTACTCTTTACTAAAATTAACATGAGAAGTAACTTTCAGAGTTAACGAAACTAATAAATTACTTTCACCAAATTAATCTCAAATTTATTTTCATTAAAGTTATCCGAATAAATATAACTACAAAGATTTAGTATACTATTTAATATTTCATACAAGTTCATGCATGATGTGAATTTTCAAAGTTTCAATTGCAACAACGAAAATAATTTGTGCTACTGATATTAATAAGTTTATGGATGGAAATTTGCAGCTGCCATGTTTTGCTTTCAATGTCTAAAGCAAAAGGAAAAAAGTCTGGTAAAACTTTATTTGTCTTTAATTTTGAATGAAGTACAACATGTGCAGAAATAAAAGTAAAAATAGCTTGGTTGATGAGTTTTTAGTATCAACTGAATATCGTTATTTTGATGACGCAAATTGTTTTCTCAAATACGAAGCATACTTTCTGTTTGCAAGCAAAACATAGCAAACACTGCAGCGATAAAAAAAAATCGGCAATATTTTATTAAGAACTATATGCTGATCAATTTCTAAGAGCAATTCTGGTCTGTAAACAGATTCATTCATTCATTCATTCACAATTTAATTACATTGCTTTTAGACACTATTTACACAGTCCAAACTGCGTTATCAAAGGAAATAAGATAACTGCAAAGAATCCTCATCTAATACTTTCGAATTCCCCATATGATACTTTTTCCAAAAAATCCACATCACATACTTTCTCCTCCCTTTATTATTCATTATTATCCATTACTTTATTTCTTACGACATAAATCAAATGGTTTATTGAAAGCAATACTGATTTCTTCAACTGGTCAGTCATTTTTTGATTTTGAGTTTGTTTACTCATTGCTTTCCTTGTAATTCAAAAAAAATGAAATCCAATGAATCCTACGTTAGTTCAGTGGAACTTCAATAAAAATTTATTCTTACACATTCATTCTTACTCTAGAGTGACACATGATTCTTGATTTTGATATTCAAGTAAATGACACTCTTGAATAACTAGAAGAAAAAATGAAGGAGTTGATGTGTTACATCTGGAAAGCACGAGGACAGGTTAGCACTTTACATTAATCTTTTTGCACTGATGCTTTCCTTTCAATTAAGTAGAAGTTACTGTAATTCAGTTTTCATTTTCAAAGTATTTCAATTTTCGTTACTAAGTGAAAAAAATGCATCAAAATTGGTTTACGTGATGGATTTGAGATTTGGGCACCGTGTGTATTACCGGAAGCAGTCTCGTAAAATTATGCTCAAAAGGAAATAATAGATCACTTGTAGGCAGTGGTAATAGTCAATAATGATAATGTTTTGAGGGATATTTACTGGTAGACTTTGTTTTAAGCAGTGGAAAAATGTATGAGATGAACTGTGCGATTTGCGAAGTACTGTTATTCACAATATAATTGTAGTAATAATTGTGAATATAAAATGATTCCATAATTTGAATTCTTTCATATAATTTCACTCGAATTTTTTTATTTTCATAGATTAAACAGAAATTTTTTTCAATAAATCAGTTTGAAAATTGTAAGCTATCACATTGAAGTAGAGAAAAGTAAAGCAAAACACTGTTAAACCGAACTTTTTTCGATAAATTGCATTTCAGTAGCATCAAAATTTGAAGTCTTCAGCCAATTTTTTTGAAAAGAAACAAAAAATAAAAAATGTCAGAAATAGCAAAAAGAAAACTTTTGCTAACAGAAGGTAACAGGAAATAAAGCAAAACTAATAGATGCATGCCAGTGAATCACTTTTTCACATAATAGAATAGACAAAAGAAGCGTTAAGATACAACGCCATTTTATATTGATTGATACGAGTGACTACGTTATGTATTTATTGTAAGCGCGAAGGAATGGAAATTCAGTAGATATGAGAAATTCGAAATTATCTCAGAAATGCGAAACTAATCAAATCAAATTATGCTGGAATGATGTTAAGAAGGCCAAGAATGCGTGGCTGTCGCAACGATTTCACTTTGTGCTCCATCATATTGTAGGACTTATGACTACCGTGAGATTTCTGACGTTACTTCACCGAATGCGTATTAAATTGCAGTGCAGTTTCATTGAACATTTCACTCATTGTATTTCCAATCATAACATTATAATTCTCCAACATATTTATGCGAACAGTAAAAAAATTTTCTGTATTACCTTTTATAATTCAGTTAAAACTTGTCAAAAGGACTTTAACTCGAAAAGAACTTAAAAAGTGTTTCTCAGAATGTTTAAATGAGAGCTGTGAGAAGCTTCTAAAAATCGAGTGCTTTTGATTTTAGTTTTCAATATTATTATTTAAAATTTCTATTTCTAAAATTCATCAATTTCAACTCTTGATCACACAAATCTATAGTCTTTTTCATTGTGAGCAAACAAACAAATTTAAGAAATATTATCAATGAACTTTAACCTCCTAAAATGACTGATCACCTGTTTGTGATCAGTCACGTAGTATTATTGATCTATGTTGAGAAGTGAGTGCTTCCGTGTCGAGGAAACGATAGTTTATTTTCCCCAACATGTATTTATTTAACTATGAGAAGTTATGTAAGTTCTTAAAATGAAATATTGGCTCATAACATGTTTTGGACTGTTTTTGTACACAAATATGTTTCAGAGATTGAAGATTTTTTACGACTATTACCATTTTTGTTAACATAAATATTACAAATATGAATTAATATGCAGACAGTTAAGTAATTCTTACAAAATAATATAGTCGAAAAAGAAACAAAAAATTTATCTTTCATATTTGCTTTTGATTTCACTTTTGCGAAAACAAATAACTCCATAACAGCCACAGAATCAGTGTGACATCAATGGCAACAAAACTGTGCTGTGAATTGTAGATTACTTTGCCTGAAATACACTATAATTTTAACCAGTTCCTCACTTTTGTTCTCAGAGTATTTTGGTAAACTTCTAGATTTCGATGACTTACTGGATGCAAATTTTATTTTGAAAATATTTTAATATTTTCAAACAACACTGGTGCAAGGCCAGCATTCCGTTATCATAGACGTGTAAGCAGCGTGTACTTCAAAATCTACAAAGCACATTGTACCACCTGCACGAACTAACTGATGTTGCTGTAAATTAATTTAAAATCGACTTTTTTTAATATTTTGACAAAACAAGTTTTGAAAATATTTAAAATTTAACTAGTCAAAATAGCTTTAGAATTTAAATAGTCTTACTCAAAAAATAATTTTCTTACCTGTCTATTTATGTCACCAATGCAAACCCATGGCACAGGTATTTTGTGGTAATCTATTATTGAAACAGCAAATTTGGAGTGATCTAGTAAATTTGAAAAAGTTATATTGAATGGCAAAGTAATATTTTTGACATCCAAAACCTAAATTTATCATATTGTTAGATTTATTTTATGCTACACAATTTTTGCAAACTCTACATAGGTGCATTTTCGTTATTTATTATTTTTATAATTTGTTCAGAAAATATTATTACATATAGTACAACGCAAATTGAGATTTTGATTATTTGAAAGCAATAAAAAGAAAGTCATAAGGATCGAACTTTATAAGGACTTTGATCAGTACACCAAGAATGCAAATTATGGTTTATCGAAGTTTCATGTTGCCAAGTTCCAACTGCTAATGAAGCTTTAATTGCAGGCGCTAATAAGTCAAAGTAAAGATCTGAAATAATTTTAGTAGAGGTAAAATACAAAAGTAGACAGTACACTGCTGAATATTTAATCACAGCTTATTACCTTTCTTGAATGCAGCAATTTTTGCAAAATGCATAAATTCTTGGCCATCAGTTGAATAAATCAAATCTTGGCGGTAGAATGGACTACCATGTTGATGTTCTTTTGATACCACCTCAAATCAAATTTATGCAAAATTAAATTACTTTCAGGCATTGTCAGTGTGTCAGTCGAGAAATACTTTTTGAAACCAGGCATTAGATGAAAAAATTTCGGAATGAAGCATATTAATGAGAGTAATCTTCTCTTCTTGAACATGAAAAACTCTACTGAAAGCGAGCAAACATTTCTTTTCTTGCTTTGCTTTCTATAATAAGCTTCAGACTTACCTTCTGTAACAGAGGAATATCAGCAGCTATATGACTAGGAAGCTTATATGAATATATAAATATATGGCTGTAATACAGATGAAGAGCTGAAAAATTAATTACAATTATTTTTTAAAATATGGATCAAATTTATGCCCCTTCGTCAAGATTGAAGCAAAGCAAAATTCTGAAAACATTTTTCAGAATTTTCTCTCTGCTGAAACCTACCTATTTTATGAAGCTGTGAGTAATTCATTGATACACATAGACCCATCTGTCCATATAGAAGCCCAGACTTGGGATATTCATAGGTTCTGTTGCGTGGGAATTTTGGTACGCTGTGAATTAACCAAAATCCATTCATTTTACTGAAGACCACAACTCCTAAAAGAAATAAGTGATAAAGTAAAAAGTGATTTAATTAAGATAAACAGAGGAAATTACTTCAAAAATCTAACGATGCAATCTTTTTTTTGCAGAAGTGACATTTATCACATTTCTGTTACGTCTTAATTAATATCAGTTATCGAAAATGATTGATAGACTTTTTTGTTTACCTTTGGCATGTCCTGCAGTTGCTGAAACAGTTTCATTCTCTGGATAAGGGAATTCGTCGTTGTACATTACACTGAAAATCTATAATGCAGTAATAAGTAGCAAATTACTTTAACATGATTTAGATTTTTAAACAGATAAAACCAAGCCTTTTCTTTCTGTAAGTAAGATGTTTTGCCTTCTGCTTTAGTAATCTCAAGAGAACAAGACATACTACCTTCAAAAGTGTGTACATTTTGGTTCATAGCTTGTAAGAACAAATAAACAATTTCAATTTTGATGAAGATTCATGAATTGAAAATTTTTTATATTACTCAAATTTTTTACTTCAAACAGCTTTTACGAGAAGAAAAAAACCTCTAAATTGTTAATGGCATCATAATACTGCTGCAAAGTAAACCCAATAGATTGCTTTGCGTTCTCGATCGAAACTTCAGAAAGTAACCATTTGCGGTCTTTCGCATCCATGTACAAAAACGCTGAGCCGTTGCGAGCAAGTTCTATGCTTGATTTATGCATGCGAGCAATTTTATAGAATATAAACCTAAATTTCCAAAATTTTATCTATTTTAAAGGCAAAATTAGTCGAAATCGGAGCAAAATAACAGAAAATCTTTATCAAAAAAACTTACCAATCTACATTTTGATTATTTTGATCGCGACATTGGAAAGTAATTGCGATGCATGGATAAATAATGAATAGCAATTGCAAAGTAATAATTTTAGTTAACATTTCCTGTGCAAAAAATGTACATACTTTACTTAAAAAACTGTACACAACATTTGGCGGCAAGTTTTAGTGCACTTGCCAAGTCAAACTTGTAGAATCAATTCATTTTGCTCGTAAAACAAACATAAAATAGTTACAAAAAAGAATCGAAGAGTAGATAATTCATAGCGGATTATTAAAAAAATTCTTCATCCGTTATCTATGAATTATGCATTTTTAAATTAACCACTTCGTAACTTATTGATTTGTTTGGATTTAAAGCAAAAATGTAATATTCCAATTTTTCCCAATCAAATGAATAATGCTTTATTCATATCAAAATATTTTCAGTTCATATTCTGCTTCAATAATTTGCAGTAATTGACCATAAACGCAAGAATCAAATCGTTTTATCAAATATACAAAGGCTAAGCAATACAACTGAGGCACTCAAAATCAGTCTTCGTTCGTGGAAACAATTAACAAACGCACAGGTAAAAAAAGAGTCTACACTTGATTCGAAATGTTACAGAACTCTTTTGTTGCTTAAAATGCCGCAAAATTTTTTAAAAATTTGGTACTATATTTAACATAAATTAGTTCATAAATAATAAATGATATGATGCTGTAATGCAAAAACAAGCACAAATTTGCACATTTGTTTTTTTGGATTTGAAAAAATAATGTTGATATGCATCAGTTCAAGGATTTAAATAATGAAGACGGAATGTGCAGAAATAAAGTAAGGCAAATTCACATCTAATATACATTAGTCACACTGACTTCACACGTCAGAGACGTGTGAGATATACGTGAATGACAGCAAAATAAAGGATGTTATAATCTAAAAAACAACAAAGCAATGAAGTAGTCAGAATAAAAAGCACTTTCTTCATGGTATTAATCAGAGGCCTATGAATATGACTGAGTAGTAATAAGTGATTAATATAAACATAAAATTAGGTCATATAAAATACAACTGCAACAGACGGAAGTTACGTATGTCACAGTTTTCAATAATTTTTTAAATCAAGCTGAATACATACGGGTCAAGAGTGTAAATGACGGAGAAAGGCGTGAATTATACTAAAAGTCATTTTATTTCACACATATATAACTCTATTTATCGCATTCTGGAAATGCAGAAGAATAAATTATGAGTTAAATTTTTAAATTTATTGTTCAAGTTAATAATAATAGACTACAAGATAAAGTTAAAAATACTTTGTACTTAAGAATGCAAAATTTATGGATTATTCTACCAAACAAACTTTTGTACTGGTTTGAATTCGTACAACTTATTATGCTTATCTACTTCAAACTGAAGAAATGAATTTGTTCCCTCTATTTTGTTCATTATTATAAAAATATCGTAATGGTATCCAAACTTAAGAAGAAATATTTACCGTTACAGACAATAATCTCAGATATCTATTCTAGGGGCACTGAGGATAAAATATTGTACTTAACAGACAAAGTAGTAAACATTGTTTACCTTATTCTTCGAGCTCAACTTCTAATCGTGTATTATGCTTTAATGATACTGTACCAATAATTTTAAAATAATCTAAGCTGTTTTTCTGCTTCAAATTCCACATGAGGCCAGCAGAAAAAATAGAGTTCAGCTTGTGAAAATAGTGAGCATAGTTCAACTACTTCCATTGAACTTTTTTCTTGCTTCTTCAGTGTCTCTCAGAGACTTTAATTCCTCATCACCGAGAATGTTTCTTCCATCTGCAGTTTCATTCACTTACATCCATAAACTACACTTCAAGGAGCAAAGAAATGACATACTACTTGCAGTTATCTCTTTGCCAATTTTTTTTTAATTTTGGTAATTCTATCAAAAACTCAGAAGAGGATTGAATTGAGGAAAAAAATACCTCGGTTATATTGCTGTTTGGCACTAACAACGGAATGAAAGGAGGGTACGGGATCATCTAAGGCAATAAGTTCTTGCTTCGAGAAAATTTTTTCCAAACAAAACATTCTAATTAATACCATTAAAACCAGCTGAAGAATCGAGTTCCTTTTTTAGTGTATGTAAATCAGTGCTGCATCAAATCAGATCAATTATTTATATCCTAATCGGTTAGTATTTTTAATTAATTAATCACAACTAATGCAGGAGATCAATTACTATTTTTAATTCAAAACAATCACTATTAGTTATGCTTCTTTTAAAGCAAGAACAAAACTAGAAAAGTATTTCTAATTTTAACTTTGTGAAAGAAAAAAGCTAAAAATAAAAGTAATACCATTAGTGGAAACATCATTGAAAATGATGGCATATATTTTACTGCAAATAATCCAACAATGCTCAAAATTTGAATGCAAGTAAACAAATGGACGCGCTTCATACGGACCAATCTCAGCCATACGTAATCCGGCTGAAAGCTTAGAATGATCAGAAATTTACTCCTTTGGAACTTTCTGACAGTCTTTCATTTTTGTACTTCTAATCAGGAACTGAAATTGAAATCATTTCCGACTTTCTTTCTAATAGCTGGTGCTCTAATGTGATCAACAAACCTGATATTTAATGGGCATAAATAGCATGGCAATCCTTTGAATAAATTGCAATCCAAGCATTGAAACTACACCCATGTACAAAAATATCCCGATAAGGACAGGTAGTGGTACCAACTGCAAATGAAGTGAAAATTTAAATAAGTTCGGACAAAATCGGTAAATCTCATAGAAGTGCTCGCAAGAAATAGTACCTTGATAACAGGTGTTATGAATACCGAAAAGCCAATCAAGAGATGAGCTATAATTGCCGTCAAACGCTGTTCTCTGCAATAACTTTTTCTTAATATTACTTGTATGAATACTTTTTGTACGATTAACTTTAAAAGTACACGTGTAAATAAGAAATTAACGATCAATTCGAAAAAAATTTATAAGATTATTCTTTACCTGACTCCAAGGAATTGCGCTTTCTCACCCGGTGCTGAGGTATCAGACTGTAAACGAAGAGAATCTACATGCATTACTGATAGAACCGTTGCGGCCACATAAAATGGTAGACCAAGAGAACCGCAGATAACTACTAATACCGCGATAACCAACAAATCCAAATGATATCCATAGCCTTTCTAAACTAGTACAACTATCAGTTATAAATAATTTTCAGTATCGGTCATTAAATTTCGGTAATTTAATGACCAGCACTAAAAACCCAAACATAACATAAATCATCCTGACTAAAAACTATTTTATGAATTGATGAAAATATAATAGGAATTTTGCAAAACTACTAACTTTTAAAAAATATCATAATTTCTCATGGGTATTACTTTATATAAAAAATTTTTGAGACTAAAAGAGTAAAAGTCTTGATATCAGAACTATCCACTTTTTGATAATCATATTCAAGCTCTACCAGATAATTCTGTAAAATACTTCTGTTGGTATAGGCTGTGATCTACTTGAAAACAAAATTTTATAAGAATCCCTAAACGATTCAACATATCGAAGTGAGTCATACTCTTAATTTATTATCTTTTCTGTTAATGATAACGGCAGTGATCTGTTGATCCATAATGATAAGTATTGCATAGAATACAGCTGGAAGCGCAGCAAATAATGCAACATACCAATCAACTGACAAAAAATTAATGAGCCAAGGGCGATCAGTCGTTGGCTGAAAACCACCTTCACTGACGAATATTTTAATTACTGTCTCAGATGTTCAAAAAATACAAAACAAGCTTTTTCATTTTCCAAAAATTCTTGCTCCAAACTATGATAAAGAAAATCTAAGAATCCAAAAAAATCCGTACAAATTATAGAGATTTCTTAGCATGTGAATAACATACTCGAAAATTAAGAGGAATGTGCAATACGGGCAGATCAAGACCGATAAATTTTGAAACAGCTGTCATTACAACAATTGCGATGAAAACACCAAAATCCGATATGCTATTGCGAATCTGAAAGAAAAATTACTGAAACTTATCGGACAATTCTTTATAAAATCATTTTTTATGATAGCTTTTGCAAAAGAAATAAATAAAATAAAACAACTAAACTATTTTTTTTTGGTCTAAAAAATTAAAGCAAAGACTTTTGTTTGCAAAAATCTCCGCAATGATTTGTTTCAACACGAAACTTCATAGAGATTCTAATGTTTTTCCTTCACAACTCTAGAAAAGTTCAATATAGTACTGTAAAGGTCAAGAAAGGCGTTCGTCTGAAAATATTTAGACCGTAAGCCAATGCAAATGTGCCAAAGGTTAGTAAAATGGACAGCATATAAACATCAGGCTTGAAGTGGCACTGCAAACCAAACGCTTCACCACCACGTTTAATACAATCTACAAATTCACCACTTATTTTATTATTTGTTCATTAATTCTTAATCTAAAAACTATACATATAACAACGTATTTTTAAGTGCTCACATCAGAAATATAAAAATGGCATTCTCTTAGATCAATTTTTGATTCTTAACAGAAAAATGGATTAAATCTTATTCAAATTTGAAAGTAAATGAAAAAACCTTCAGCATCAATGTCCATCAGTTTTTGTTGCATAGTACTGTTGAAACCAAGAGCCACTGACTCATTCAGATAGCAAACACATGGTGAATCAAACACACTCTGCCAGAATTTTACGACATATTACAAATTCAAGAAAAGAGAATAATCATATACATGACAGTATCAAATTCGCAGTACAATCTTAATCTTGTCAATACTAACTTGTGCTAGAACACAGTAAACTTGTCAAACCTTATGTCTTTTTCGAAATCTAATTTAATTTAATTACGATTTGTAAGTACAATTTTTTGTCAAATTTAAAGAAGCAAACTTTAACTATCAAAAAATTAAGAACTTGTCATGTTTTTATGCATTTCAAAGATATGGTGGACGAACTTTTGGATCGGTGATGATGGGTGCATCATGACTAATTTCAACTAATTTTTCAAATGACTGAATTATAAAAACGATTGATATTAGTGCTGCAAATGCTTCTTCCGTAAATCTGAAAAGTTCTGTACTCAATCACTTTCGCTTTCTGTTTATAAAATTACAAAAGCTCAGTAATTTTAGTTTATATCTGTAGTAGAAGATGACTGATTGCATTTGAATTATTTTAATGAGCAACTTTTTAAGCATTTCACCTAGCATGTCATTAACAAATGAAACCAGCTGTGTTTTATTTCATGTATTCAAATCAAAAACTTCAAGTTTAGCACCTAGTAATCAAACCAACGAGCGCTGACATATCTGTGGCAACTAAAATAAGCAAAACCACACCGATCCATACAGCAACCCAAAATCGGAATGGTAAAAATTCCCAGCCATTTGCCCTAAACAATGTAGTAGTATTTTTGCGCAGTATAATCAAAGATTTTAACACATGTGCACTTCAAAAAAATGTTCAGTTCAAATGAATTAGATGAAAATCAAAAGCTTACAGACAAAAGTCAAACAAAATGGTTTCAAAGACCAGAGTTGGGCCTGTTGCTGACAAAATGTTGAGTGGTTGACCCGAAAAGAGAGCAAATATCACCCCACTGATACCTCCACATATAATATTCTCGATAGCCGCCTTAATGCTTGCAAATCAAATCTCAAGCATTCTATCTAATTTCACTTTAGTTCATGAATTATTCTGCACTCAAAAAGCTAATCATCTAATTTTTCTACGCATAATTCAAATTTCAATCAATTGAAATATTTGCAGAATATGAGCTAAAACTTAAGCTAGTAAATCAATCAAAACTCATAATGGATCAAATTAGGTTTCTGTAAAAATAGTTTTTTAAAGCATAAAATATACCGATAAAGTGAGCCAAAAAATGTTTGCTAATTTACTTACCATTTGATGGTGCAAAGCTCGTTCCATTACCGCGCCAAATGTAATTATTGATGTGATGTTAGCAAAGAAGAGAAATATGAATGCAGCGAATGATTGACTCCACCGACCACGGAAAAAATCGCTAAAATCCGATACGAAAAATGGCGCCTTACGTCTGAAATACACAGCATTTCTGGAGAAAGTCTATTATTATCAAATTCTTTATTTAATCAAAATAATGATAATAAGAGTAATACTGAAATTATGAGTATCATTTGAAAAATTTTGAAGTAATTTTATTCAGAAACGGAAATAAAAAAATTACTTGATATCATCACAAAGACCACCGAAACATCGACCAGTACGTACGATGTCATTATGCATTTCTTTTTTATGCTCGAGCTCAGGTTCTTCATCAAAAGGGTCATCATAAGAAGCATAAAGCATACCCACCGAACGAGCAACCTGAAACAACAACCTTACATAAGCAAAATACCGATTAAGACAAGTCAATTACACTGTGATGGAATGAATTGAAAAGTGAACTGAACCTGGTCTGAGTCAGTGTTCGGTTCCCATCGGGTCTCTGTACTACAGTTACCGGGAGGAATCGCGACAACCTGAACGAAGAATTCTTCCAACGCATCAGCAATTGTGTACGGCTCAAGTGAACAATGCGCCACCTTCCTAAATATCTGCAAATATAAAAAAAGTGTTTAAAGTTGCTACTTCTCACTTGTCTCAATCTTAATATATCATATGGGAAATTAGACACGTCTAGAGTTATTTAAAAATTCTACAATAATTTCTGATTATTTTTAACCACTGAAAGGTGTGCGAAATGTGTGAAAGAATTAATTCCAAAAATTACCTCATCTGAAAACAAAGCACCCATAGTTCTGCCTATTGCACGTGTTTCGTTCGTGTAATGGTCATGCGGACTGATGAGCACAAATACAAATCTTAATGGCACTGGAATATTGGGCATTTCCGGGTAAAAAACCTGAAATTTCCTCAAAAATAGAACTTAAAAGTTTCAAATTTAAAGACTGTATTAGCGTAAGAAAGTGAAATATTTTAAGATTAGTTACTTTAGCTTTTTCGAGTCGAAGAAAAGCACAGATGGGCCTATCGAGACCGCTAAAAATTGCAGACATTATTGCAGCTCCCTCTGTACCTTCCGCTAACTTCTTCATTTCTCGTAGTGATACCTACAAAAATTATGCGCAATATTTTGGGTTTGAAGCAGTAAAATTATATTTACATCTCATACAAAATAGCCTTGCAAAAACTTTTCTACTACAACTCAATGAACAAATTGATTAAATTAAAATCTTAATTGTGCTTCAAGCAGTATAAAGTGCATCAGGCTTACATCATACATGCTTTCTTCCTGCTCTCCTTCATTTTCACCTTCAGATAAACGTTTATTGATCACGTGATTTACATCTGAATTCCATTCAAGTCTATCTGTTGCAAACGTTGTAATGGCTTAATTTTTCGAAAACATTTGATAGGAATCGGTAGTACCAAATGATAATACAATGCATGAAAATCAAATTATCGTAAAACTGTGTTTTTCAGTTTTATACAAAAATATATAACCTTTTCTGATTTCAGTGGACGAACGCATGCTATTACCAATAAGGTGATATTTGGGAGAACGTAAGAGATCTTTTATACAAGTTGAGCTTTCCGATTCCAGCATTCCACGTTCCATCCAGGCAGCACATAATTGATCTTTATAGCGCGCAGGTTAAAAATATTGTTCAAGAGAGAAAAAAAAACGTTAACAATAGCAGTTTGCATCAATAATTACTGGATTTTTTGAAGACGTAGTGTTTTACTTGTGCAAAAAAATAAGTTTAAAATTGATTTTGGTGGGAATTGAAGTGATTATACCAGTGACTTCTTCGAAGGAATTTGCTTCAATGTCCAACAGAATGACCCCTTTGCGAAGGCAGTTCTTAAGTTGTATAATACTAATTACTGATAAAAGGGTCACATGAGGTTTAGAAAATCGAGTCCCATCACCTTCAACTGTTTGCTCATATTTAATCCACCTGAAAGTTGTTTGAATTCATATCTACAGCTTTTTATAATTTTAGGTTTAATGTATTTAAATGCCATATTTTGCTCATAAAAAGGTTGCTAGTTTTTCGATAGTTATCATCATTTTCGAGATAATAAATTTAGTGAATGAATTTGCTTATAAATTATAAAAATAAACTAATAATCCGTTTATTTGTAATAATTATTTTGCAATATTTTAAAATAAACTATCAAAATCAACTAAAATTTGAATAAAAAGACATGCTAACCTTGCAACTTGCTTCCATTGCTTACTCTTTTTGCCGTCCTTTTCCAAGTGTAGCATTTCTGTATAAATCAGAGGAACTTCTTTTTCATGGCCTTCCAAAACCTCTCGAACATTGTGTATTGGACTTGAAATATACAAGTAAAAATCAACGTCTCGTACTAATTAGATTAAAATTAAGCAAAGAAAAAATATTTGAAAATTGAAGAAAACAACGATAAAATTTTTTTGAAATTATTGTCTACTGAGAAAATATTACACTTTGAATGTACTGATTAAATGCCAGAAAATCTATTTGCTTTCATACTTTTACTTTAAATCTAGAAACATTAATCGGCTTATTTTATAAACATCTCTAATTATGTTAATTTTCTGCATTCATATTTAGTAGTGAAAAAAAGTGAGGAGGCAGAATGGCTTTCTTTGTTATTACTAATTATCAGATAGAAAATAAACTATAATGCTAAAAAAAATGCATTCGTCTAATATATTCCTTATTTTTTGATAAAATAGCAAAAACTTATTTTCTGGATGATTTCCCACTTGTAAAGGTTGGATACTGTACAGTGGGTCAAGTAACAAATCCTCTGTAAAGAATATATTTTATACACAAATTGTATTTAACTTTTCGTTCTTCTTAAACTTTTCTATAGATTACTATAACTTTTTTCAAGTCAATTTTTTCAAAAAAAAAACTTTAACACATCTTAATTTTTGAATTCACGTTAATGAACTTAACACGTTTTTGAACAGTGTGGAGAAGCCATAACTAAAATTTATTCTTGATAGCTCACAAGCAAAAATTCTTTCCTTATATTCAGTACATTAATTGAAATGTCTTCTTATTTCTTACTTTTTGAATTACAAGAAAATTGAAATCATAAAAGTATTTTCAAGGTACTTACATATGAGAATGGCAAACTATTATTAAATTTTCCGATTAAATAAAAAATAAACAGAAATTAGTTGAAGAATAAGCAGTAAAAAGTAAATCATAGTTCCTGAACAAACAGACAATAAATGGCAAAGTTAAAAATTTATACTGCAGAACTTACGCCCGCCAAACAAGGAAGGTTTCGGATAAACTTCCGTAATGCTTCTACGGCGCAACAAGCTGGACTGACTATCAGACCTGATTCGGATATCGGGTTGACTCGTGGTACTGCGACGTTTCGCCATTATTCGTATTGTTGTTTTGGTCGTTGCTAGGATCTGCAAAAACCTCAATCAGCGTAATAATTAGCTAATTGAAACTAGTTTATATCCGCATGGAAATATATTTTTGCTTCATAATTAGTGCATCCATACATGCATAAAAGTCTTACTACTGACTGAGTAACTTCAAGCTGAGAATATTATTTTTATTGTAATTTATCCAATAATAACACAATAATCACAACAGTCAATCAACAAATATAGATGAGGTTGAATTTTTCACTAAATTATTAAATTCATAAAACATATTAGTTAATTTTTGCTTCCAGTATATTCCCTGTAATCATAAAATAAAAAGTTGATCATGCTAAACATACAGTAACAGTTATCACATGCATTTTATTTACTTTACTTTCTCTGATAACTTTTTGTTTGCAGCACTAATGATCTATCTATCATTTCAAACATTATTTAGTGCTATGCATCAGTACTTTTTTATGAGAGAATAAGTCCCTTAATTTATAGACTGAATACTTTAGAGTGAATAATGTAAGAAAGTATTACATTGAGCAGTCAGTCAAACAAATTTAGTTACATTAGGCAATATTCGACTGTGTAATCAGCTTGCTGTAGTCAGCGATCTCTCAAAAATAAATTGGCAGCGTTCCCTCTTGAAAATCTTTAATTTAAACGTGCATTCATATGATTACTTTCAGATTGAATAATACAAAATAGAATTGTAAACCTCGAAAAGGTTGCAATCTTAGAAAGTTAGCCTCGAGCTAATAATCAACTTAATGCTCTATTAACGTTACAACTCACGCAAACATTACTCACTGCAGTTGAATGCTACTCAATCTCAGCTCAAATTTATATTTAATAATCTAAAATTTGAACTTGATAACGATTAACTAGTATGTATTTTTACACTTAAACATTTTTTAAAACATTTCGTTTTGTAATCCTAACGAATTTTGATCTAAAAAGAAATTGAAATAGTTTTTTTAATTAATGTAATATGTAATAATTTGAAAAAATATATAGGAAATGTCAAAATTCACTGACCGCTATTTAGATGTAAGTTAAATATGCTCTTAGAAGGAAAGTCATAAAACTTTGCAGATAGTTTCCGAAATGAAGCATGAAAACCCCTTACTCATACGTTTGCTGCAACCGTTCTATCAATTTTTGCTGCATTTGATCAAGCGAAGGCATTATTTTAACGTGAAAAAGATTTTGAAACCTGTTTTTATGAAGTAAAGTGGTAAACTGATAAGCAATTTTGCCTGATATTAATTAAATGGAAAAGGACAATAATTATAACTTTGATCAGCCATCTGCTACCTGAATTTCCACTACATTTGATGAAAAGTCAAGCAATACCAAAGTTAAGCTTCTTCGACTTAATCCCTTAGCATTTTTTAATGCTTACTGACTCGTTAATTTTTTGTCATAAATGATGCACATTTGCAATACTGAATTTCACAAAAACTCAAAATTTATTTGATGACAATCTTATAAATCATTAAATGTGAATTTGTTATTACTGAGTAACAAAAAATCCCAATGCTTTATTAAAACCCAGATATTAGAAACTTTATAACTCAACTGTTCTAAATTGTATGTTTTTGAATCAGATTGCAAGGATTCATTAAGAAATAATCACAATTATTATCATTATAATACAAGCAATTTTGCTAGCAGTTTTCGCTTAATTTCAGGTCTGAAACTTCCTCCGAGTATCTAATAATAAAACACGCAATCGCAAACATTAGCAGCAAATAAATGCGATAAAAGCTTTCAAGCTGCAAAATTATGTTAACAAGAAATTTGCAGTATTAATTTATGCAAAAGAAATTTGCAGTATTAATTTATGCAAAAATATTGAAGTTAACAATGTATCTTAGATGTTGAATGTCTGAGAATTCTGTCTGCTTCACTTACTTGCGATGTTGTTGAGCGTAGAAAAGTGATTTAAAAAATTTCCAACAGAAATGACTAGAAGCTATTTTCAAAATTTATTAAATAAAATTTAGTAAAGTTGCAGTTGTGAGTTAATGCATTAAAAAAAAATACCTGTTATACTTGCATACTTAACTATGACAGACAGAACAAACGAATATCTTGGTAAGTTTTGTTAAATTTACTATCGCAATCATAAATATTATTTTAATATGAACATGCTTACAGATTTTGCAAAATAAGTTTAAACTTGCTTAAAATCAAAAAATAAGTACCATAAAAATTCATTATAAAAAATGATTGAAGTACGGATTAAATGAAAAAAGCATTTTATTCTTTTGTACTTAATCAAAAGTAATAAGCACACAGTTTTCATAATACAGTATACAGTCTAATGAAAGCTGACGTGAAATCACTTTCAGCGTCAAAATGATAGTACACGTAAGGAAACTGATTTCTAACAAGTAAAAGTATTAATTAACAGGGAGAAAAGTATAATAATAATTCTATCACGTTCCATTTTCGTTCATGGCAATTGAATAATTGTGTAATAGGGACTGTTATCAACCGATCATCACTGCCTCTCATTTACTCGTGGTTTTATATTTGAAAATGAAGGCTGTTATAACCTTCCTCACCTGACCTCTCGATGAACTGACCACTAATTAATGAACTTTCAACAAATCGTTAATCACTTGTTCCACTGATAGATAGTCCTTTCTCTGAACTATTTACATCACTTCTGATCAAGAATTTCTTACAACTTGAAAATCACATTTTTTTTACTTTCATCTAAGCATTATTTGCATAGTAAAATCTCTATATATGTTTCACAAACACTTCTTGACCACCTACCTGAGAAGGAAAAAGATATGTACACATTTTTATATCTTAACATATTTACTTTCTATAAGGTCAAGCTTAAGAATTTGATATCTGAATTTCAGAGGTCATATTCAAATTCAGGACAATAATTTGTCTTTTTTTTTCTGCATACACTGAAATATCTTTTCGAAATATATAATACTCTTAAAAATTTGAGTATTTAAATTTATCCACAAGTATTTATGGCTCCGTTAAAAGAAATCGCACGTCAAAAAGCAATAAAAATAGGCTTAAATCTGAGAAAAATTCAATACTTGTGTTAGGCATGTTTCTGAATTCTGAAACACTTGACAGTTTAAATTTTAAAATGTGTCGCTGCTTGGATAAACGAGTTATTACTGAGTCACTAATTTAGTGAACTGCATGGAATGAAATAATTAATTTTCAAACATAAAAGCAGTCATTATTCCAAGTTAGTTGTTTATGCACTGCAGCAGCTATTTTTTACAGAAAATTAATTTTCACTTCATTTTAGGACGTACTAAAAATGTATAACAAAACTGACTTTGCAATCGAATCTTATGTTTTCAGAAAAGTATATAGCAGTTCAAAGTAATGAGATAATAGAGTAAGTTTTATTGTTTCATAAAATAATACCAAAATAAATAAAGTATTAAATGACTGAAAAGTATGATTGATCATCAATCATAGCAGCTAAATGTTGCATTTATTTAATTGATCATTTCAACAATAATTCTAATAAAATTGTTGCAAGAATTTAATAACTCAATTACTGATATCAGAACAGCATTACTTGTAATTCATAATTCAGAGTTGAGTATGAATCAGTGCTATGTGTTGTAATATACTGAACTCAAATTGCAGTAAAACAAGCCATCTAAAAGAACAGTTGTATACTGCAAACCATTCAGAGTAATTGCTAAAAAATTTTAAAAGAACCATAAATTAGTACTTTGAAAATGAACTAAACTAGTTGACATGTAAAGAGGTTATCGCTGTCGTAAGTGTCATTTGTAATTTACAACGAAAAATTTGGTACAATAATCTTTCGATAACTTTCATTTTATTTTTCATGAATGCTTTCGCTTTTACGTGCAAACATGTTTTTCCAAACTTCCATCAAGCAAACATAAAAGGTAAACATAAATTCTTTGATCAGCAAAGTAAAAAGTGTTTTCTTTAAGCAAATAAAAATATTAGAATCAAAGACAATATAAAGGTTCAAAGGTCAAAGAAAATAAAATTCATCGTTAAATATTCACATTTTCTTATTTACAAATAAAAGCAAAAACTTGTTCGAAACAGGTTTAAAATTTTGAAAATTTTTTTTTGCTTGTCAACAATAAATACCCTAAAAACATGAGAAAAGTAACAGTTTCTGAAATTATTATTGAGCTCACAATAGACGATAGATATTTAGTTTCAATTATTCAAAAATTTATGATCACATAATGCAATTTCAAAGGCAAATAATTTAAAGTTACTCAAAAATTGCATTGTTTTACTCTATCAAAAGTAATAGTGTTTAATACAAGCATAGAAGGCACGCCTGCCAAAAGAATCGCTTTTGCAAGGAAATTAACGACAATTACAAATTGTCGCCTATTTACTGTAAAAGTTTTCTCAGTGCCAAAGCAAAATACTTTTAAAGTAAAAAGTATGGTAAAATGTAATTAATATTCTTTGTCTTTAACACAAGAAGTTTGTTACAACCTTACCAAATTTCAATTTTTAATTTTTTTCATGCCTAACAATTTTAAAAGTTCAGAAAAGTTTTGAAAACTGTTACTTAAACAAAGTGATTACGTAAGTGTGAAATACATTTCCTTCTTAAATTCGCAGGTATTATTTTTCTTTATCAAAAATTGTTGTCGCATTTGGTTTATAGTCACTTTCCAATATTTCGCTCGAAAGGTGAGCTGTCAGGCTAAAGAATTATGAATATTTCTAGACAATAATTTTCATGAAAAGTTTAGTGGAGAACTAAATACACTATTTCTACTTCAGCGGTATAATTGAAACATGGAGCAAAGAAGAAAGTTCCCGTGAAAATATGACCCAGTGCTAGAAAGGTCATATCGATTCAAATTTGAATTAATTTCCTGTTTTCTTCCCTTTCTGCATGACCTTCGACCTCTTCTACCAATGAGCTGCATCGATCGAGACAACAATTGGATTTTATCAGACTGTAACGAGGTTATGTCTTATTTTCGACA